TTGGCTGCCGCGTTCGCCCACAAATATACAGTCAATTCACTTTACAGTGTGTTCTGTGAAGCGCTTTGGGACGTCCTCCCGACGTGAAAAGCGCTATATCAAATGCAAGGATTATTATTATTATTAAGAGAGGTCAGGATGTCTAGTCAAGTTTAACTGTTACAAAAACAGTGATTGCTGGGAATACTCAGCAGGTCAGGCAGCATCTATGGAGAAAGGTATGTGGGTCAAAGTTTCGGGTCCATGACCCTTCATCAAAACCCAAGCATAACTGTTGATTGGTAATCAATAAAGTAAAATATTGCTTTACAGGATTCCCAGTAACATGTACTCCAATGAAGAAGGAATTCTAAAATGCCCAAGGAAAGACTGCATATATATATATATATAGGAATATATATATATAATAAAATTATATTGTAAGTGTGGAAATAAGATGAAGCTCGTTCAGTGGGTTATGCTATAATGCCCTCAATTCCTATCCCACTTTGTCCCAGCTTGTTGATTAGTAATAATAATAGTCCCATTGAATTTGGAGAAAGGCATTGCTCATGACTAAAAATGTCTGAAAAATATTCGATGGTTATGTTACCACCAAAAGTTAATTGAGTAGTTTACATGACTGTGGTTGTAATTAAATAAGAGATTCTCACCAAAATGTCTGACATTTTTTCTCTCTCTATTACCTTGTAGGAGATTTGTTCAGTCTTGTGTTGACAATGTTGTTATCTTGAACAGCAATCATGTTTGACAAGTTCAGCCAAGCTAAGGAAGAACTCTGTCAATGGATTGTTTAGTTAAGCCCTCACTTGCTTGGTGAAACATGTCCTTATTCAGAGTAGCTTTGTAATAATAACTGATAGGAAAATCCCTCTAAATGGAAACCATTTATTTGCAGTTGAGTTTCAGTCTTCTTAACCATTTATCAAGTGTTAGAGTAATTTAATGGAATGTAGATAACACTAAAATAAACCCAATAAGTCAGCAAGTATTAGCAACATCAAGTTCAAGATCCTCGTCCACACTTATAAGGCCTCAATGATCTTGTTCCTCCCCATCTCTACAACCTACTAAACCTTAACCAACTTAACCATTCCCTCCACTCAGCAGGCTCCATGTGCCCCAGCTTGCCCACTCGACCTTCGGTGGTCTAGCCTTCATCCTTTCTGCCCCACCCTCTGGAACTCCATCCCGGAAACCCTTCACTTCATCCTCATAATAATAATAATAATCCTTGCATTTGATATAGCGCCTTATCACATCTTTGAGATGGCTGAAAGTGCTTCAAAGAATACACTGCAAAGTGAATTGACTGTATATTTTGTGGGCGAAACGTGGCAGCCAATTGCACACAGCAGTGTCCCACAAACAGTTGTGGATTGAATAATAATAATAATAACCCTTGCATTTGATATAACGCTTTTCACGTCTTCTTGATGTCTCAAAGCGTTTCACAGAATATGCTGTAAAGTGAATTGACTGTATATTTTTGGGCGAAATTCGGCAGCCAATTGCGCACAGCAGTGTCCCACAAACAGTCGTGGATTGAAAATGACCAATTTATTATTGTTTTTTGTTTTGAAGGGATTATTATTAGGCGTGTGGAGTAAGGAAACTTGCCCAAGGTTTCGTCCTGCCTGGAATTGTACCCAGGTGTCTCGCTTGCAAGGCGACCGCTCTAACCACTGAGCTACAGGACTCCAAATTATTCTCGTTTTTTTATTATTTATTTTTTGAAGGGATTATTACCCCCAGAAAAATGATCCACCAATCGACTAACAACCGGGATCCTACTTACTCAGTAAGTAAACAGAGTCATTTGGAGTAAGGAACCTTGCCTAATAATTCACCCTGCCCAGGAATTAAATCTGGATCCTTTTGCTTGTGAGGCGAGTGCTCTAACTCATACATTGCAAGACTCCACATAGATTACAGGACTCTTACTTGCCTCTTCCTCTTTGAGTATGCCTTCTATTATCTTCCCACCCCCACCCTGTGCCCTCCACTGCTCTTGATAGCAACCCCCAGTACTGGTGCAAACCCTTCAATGACCAGCACTTTGTGAAAGGTATAGTATAAATGCAATTTATTTTTGTTGTTTTTATTTATTTTTATTTAGATTGGAAAAAACTATCTCCATGAAGGATAAATAAGATGAAAAAGGATACAAATGTATTCTATTTGTGTAACATTTCAGAGAACTCAGAATTTGACAAATTGTTGAATTCAGTATTAACTTTCAAGCTTGTTTTTTTGCAAGTCTTAAAAGAACTTGCAGAAAAAAAGGCTTCAAAATTAAGATTGTATTAAAGAATTTACCAAATTCTAGCACTCTAAAATGTCACATAAACAGAGTAAATCCAGACTCAGGTCAAATTTCTCCCTAAGGATGCTGCACTACTGTGGTACAATAGGCCCAGTATATTCCCCAGTATATGTGACAGATCTGATTTCTGGCTTTAATTTTCCCTTTGGTTGCAGCAGCATGAAAACTAATCCAAATTCAAATGCAAGTAAGTTATTAGTGTTGGATACTCCTTTAAGAGTAAATTGACAATTAACAAAACATAGAAACAGGAATAGGCTATTCAGCCCCTCGAGGCTGTTCCACCATTTTATAAAATCATGGCTGATCTGTACCTCAACTCCAGTTACCCGGCCTTGCCCCATATCCCTTAATACCCTGACCTTGAAAATGTGAATGGATCCAGCATCCACAACCTTTTGGGGGAGAGAGTTCCAGATTTCCACTACCCTTTGAGTGAAAAACTGCCTCCCGAATTCACTCCTAAATGGCCTAGCTCTAGTTTTAAGATTATCCCCTTGTTCTGGATTCCCCAATCAGAGGAAATAGTTTCTCTGTAGCTACCCTATCAAATCCCTTTATTATTTTTAAAACTTCAATCAGATCACAACTCAACGTGCTAAACTCAAAGGAATAGAGACTAAGTTTAAACAACCCGTCCTCATAATATAAGCCTTTAATCCCTGGTATCATTCTGGTGAATCTGTGCTGACCTCCCTCCAGAGCTAATATACTTACTGAGGTGTGGTGTCCAAACCTGAACATGGTACTCCAGGTAGGGGTCCGACCAAGGCTCTATACAGTTGAAGCATCATTTCCTCTCCTTCATATTGCAGCTCCCTTGAGATAAAGACCAACATAAATCAATTAACCAATCAATAAATCAATAAATGCATGCCTGCTTTTTTGATAAATTTTGCACATGTGAGCTTGTTTTTTATGGGATTTGTGTACATGGACATCCAAATCCCTTTGATCCTCCACTGTTCTTATTTTCTTCCCATTTAGAAAATATTCTGTTTTGCTATTTTTGGATCCATAGTGGATGACCTCACACTTCCCCACATTGAATTCCATCTGCCACAGTTTTGCCCACTGACTTTATCTATCTAAGTCCCTTTGTATCTCCCTGATAAGAGATTCCAGGAACTTCCCCATAACTGAAGTTAAGCTGACATTTCTGTAGCTACCTGATTTCTCCCTTGTTAAATAATGGAGTGACATTTGCAATTCTCCAATCCAAGGGCCAATAAGAAGGGCAGGAAGTACAAAAGGACACTGGGCATGGGACAAAGTGTATGGCTTATGGTGGGAGGAGTATTGCGTGTTTGGATTGACAAATAAAGAAGCTTATTAGCACACCCTTGAGTTGGATTGAGTGATGTTGCAATTAGTGTTAAATTGTTGTAAAGGAACCATTTCTCTGAAGCATGCTATAAAACTCAATTTAACTCAGGAAAGTTTAAATATCTCCATTTTCAGACTTCTGTCTGAGATTTTGTTAGGAAAGGGTGTCTGAACTGTCTTATCAGTAAATAAAAAACTCCTGTGATTTTTATTTGTGATTTATATAGTGCACTGAAGGAGCAGGGCACCTGCTAAAATGAACCTTTTAAAATCAAAACTTACAGATAAGAACCATCTTTCTTCTCCAAAATCCTGAACATAAATATATACCTTTCCTACTCTTCTCTGTGGGTTTTCATCTACTCGCCCCAGTTGCCATGCATTATGCAATAGGTATATCTGATGTATTTTAAGAGATTTCATTTATGAAGCAATGTTACATACAGGAAGGGAGCCTCAATCACAACCAGCCCAAATTATGGCTGACACATACTATCAACAAGCCTGTAGCTTTCCAGCCATCTTTTATTCTGAAACAAAATTGCACACAAATAAATTAAATAAATAAATATCTATTCATTTAACTAGGTTGGTAATTACAAGTAAGCTTGCATAAGTTGTATTATTCGTGACCATAACATTTAATATGACTTAATATGAATTATGAGGTACAGGCAAAATCACATAAATCGTATCAGCTGAATTAATACCACTTACACAAGTTAAGAATCTCTTTTGTGACATAACGGGACAAGAGCTCGCTTTGCGCACTTGTTCGAAGGCAGCGCGAAGTTTGCATGCAGTACTTCATCAACAAAAACAAACTTGCATTTATATAACACCCCTCATGCAGGGTAGCGTTCCAGACCACTTAAGCAGCAGGTAAGTGCAATGCAGTGACAAGTCAAGACCTTGTTTGCTGCATTAGTTTCATAAGCAGCACTTCAATGTGGCTGATAAGTTTAGATGCGGCGATATGAATTCGGAGATGGTTTGCATAGGATTTAGAATTATTTGGGACTAAGAAACCGCCATGACTTAGTCGTTTATCTGACCACTAAAATACACTATTGCAAAGAATTCTAAGTGATTTTTGGTAGGAAAATGAATGGGACATGGGTTCATGTACAATTTAGGTTAGGTGATTCTATGACTTAAGATGACGTAACAATAACAATAAAATTACATTTGTATAGCCCCTTTCACGTCGGGAGGACATTCCAAGGTATGTTTGCTTGTAATTGGGCCTTGCTGTAGTGTCTCTCAATAATAAGAATTTAGTAATTAATTGGGCCTTGCTGTATTGTTCCTCAATAATGAGGATTTTGATGCTTCTCAATATTTCTAAATGGATGTTTCTGGTGCTTATTCAAGTAAGAAATGTCTCTCCTGGGGAATGAAACTTTAAACATTGGTTGTCAGTTATAAGCATCAAGATAAAGAGCATCAAGAGCATCAAGGTATGAGGTCAGGTAAACACAGGTTAACTGCAGAATGGTTATTTCAAATGTAATGCAACAACCTGCTGCAAAGATATGAATTTTCCATTCGCTTTACAGTCATTTTTATTCTTAATCCAGCTATTAAAAAAAAATGATGGGCTCTCCCTCGCTATAACTAGGAACAGAGTTGACACTGCCCTATCTCATTTCTCTTTGGACCCTCACAGCCACCAGAGAAGCATTTCATTTCAAGATTCAAACTCAGATAAAACTTAAAGTGATAGTGTTTGACTCATTGTTCCAACTTCCCCTCAATGTGCTCGTCACTAAACGATCAAGAATAATTACAAGGATGTTACACTTCTTTTATTCTAATATGTCTTGTATGTTCTGCAGTCCTGATAAACTTTGCACATGCTCAAGATGACTGCAACACCGGTCCCTGTTACCCTCCTCTTGGAGACTTACTTGTGGGTCGAAGCAATAAGTTATCTGCTTCTTCAACCTGTGGTATGAATGGACCTGAACAATACTGCATCATTGGACATTTACAGGTCAGTAAAAGCTTCTCGAAAATATTTAGCACAAGCAAAACATACAAAATATATGCTATTCCTTACAGATCACAAAAAGTGTATTTTCTTAAGCTCTTCATTTTAATAGAACTTATTGAATCCTTATGCCACTACTGCCTAAATTCTAGGCTGATTTCTGAACACTATTGCAAGTTATTATAAAAGCATGGAGAAAATGCCAACCATTCTTCAACAATCCCTATTTTGCATGTTACCAAAGCAGAAGGTATTTATGCATGTTCAAAGTCCTCCAATTTTCTCCCTAAATTCCTCTTATGCTATATACATGATAGAACATGTTATGATAGAAAGGCATCTGTACTGCTAAATAGTTCAAGTCAATAGGCATCTGTAGTGCTGTTGAGATGGGTCATTATCAGGCAAGCTATGACACGTTATAGAGCATAAAAATGTTAAATATCAATAAGTATCCAGTTTATTCAGAACTCTGCCGCTCACATACTGACCTGGATCAAACTCTGTCCCCACATCTCACCAGTTCTGGCCAGGCTCCACTGGCTCCCCATCACTGAACAGATTGACTTCAAGATCCTCACACTCGTGTTCAAATCCCTTCACTCCCTAGCATCTCCCTACTTCTCCGATCTCCTCACTACCCAATCCATTACCTAACATCTCCACTTAACTGCCACCGGCCTCCTGCTCGTCCCTCGCACACTCCGCCCTACCATCAGAGGTCGCACTTTCAGCCACTACACCCTGAAACTCTGAACACTTACCCTCAATCCCTCTGCCTTGCCCTTCTCTCCCCTTTTTCAAGTCCCGCCTGAAAACCTTCCTCTTCGAATGTGCTTACAGCCACCTCCCCCACACCCCGGCTCAGAGTCAGGCTCCACAACTGTTAAGCGCTCTGATATGCACCCCGGCTCAGAGTCAGGCTCCACAACTGTTAAGCGCTCTGATATGCTATCCTGCGTGGAGGGCCCTATATAAATGCCAACTGTTGTTGTAAGAGTCAGAGTTTTTCGTACTTTTAGAAAATTACATGGCATTTCAAGAAATAAAGGATTTGTGAATATATTTCAAAAACAAGTCTCTATAGCCTACTATTAATGGTAAAGGTTGACAGAAAGGCTAAGTAACAAATTCTTCAGTACATGTTTAAACTAATATGAAAGACATTTGTACAATAGACATAACAGAAAGGTTTCATTATTTATGCACATTTATGCATGATTGTTCATGTTTGCTTATTATTACATGATCACGCATATAGTTCAGATGAAGAATGCCCTTTGACCCACCTGATCTCACCTTTCCAGAATACCCACCATACCATCCTCCCATCACCACATCAAGCTCTTTTTTTATAAAGATTTCAACATCTTGACCTGAACCACCCTTCGTGGGAAATCGCTCCAGTCATTAATTACCCCCTGGGTAAAGAAAAACTTCTTGGTATCTGTCCTGAAGTTGCTCTTTGCAACTCAAGAGCATGTCCTCTTGTTCTACCGTCTTGGTGCATCCTATAGTATTATTCTGGGGTTACTCCTTTGACCCAATTAAAATATTGTACATCTCTGTAAGGTCCCCTTTCATCTCTCAAGTCTAAAGAGCTCTAGCTTGTCTAATCGTTGCTCATAGCTCATTCCCCTTCCCTCCTCAGCTTACCCCTCCATCTTGGGTTTCCAGTCAGCTTTGTGATCCTTCTGACAAGTCGGAATGTATAATATCAATGTAATTGTTGTTATTCAGTCAAACAGTATTCAGTTCACAAGCACAGATTTGTGATAAATTTACATCGGTATATGAAAATTCTTACCAACTGTTGCAAAGCAAAATTGGAATATTTTGTTATTAAATAAATATTTAATAAATAAATATTTTGTTATTAAATAAATAGCATGTTAGTGTTCCAGTTACCAGCAATATGACAATAATCTCCATATTACACCAGTATTATGGGAAGCATAATCTTACAATAATATAAGTAATGAAGCTCTTTCTGATAGTCAGTAGGTAAATTTCTCCAAAACTTTCACAAAAAGAATTATTCAGCAGTCAACCCCGAAAGTTTTATTTAGGAAACTATTCAATTTATCTGGTATTCACAAAATGTTGCAAGCACCCTGCACAGATTTCACGGAATATAATGTATCCTTGCATTTGATATAGGGCTTTTCACGACTTCTAGACTTCTCAAAGCACAGAATATACTGTAAAGTGAATTGACTGTATATTTGTGGGTGAAACACGGCAGCCAATTGCGAAAAGCAATGTCCCACAAACAGTCATGAGTGACTAAATTATTATTTTATTTATATATTTTATGAATACAAGAAACTTAATATTTCACAATCACCTTAGGTATTCGTAATGAACTGATCCAGTGATAATTGCTAGGAACATTGTCTTTGTGGTTAGTCTTGCAATATAGTAATTGACTAATTGCCAAACCATCCAGCGCAATGAATTTTTCAGGTCTTGGGTTATAGCTTTTTCCTGTAACATTCCCCAAAAAGATGGCGCAAATTCTGAATAAGTCATTATTTTAGTCTTCATTTTTAAAGCCCATTTTCTGTAGGTTCTGTTTTGAACAATTGTGCAAAATTTGCGCATGTTAATATCCTACAAAAACTAGCTTCAAAATTAAGACTGAAATTAAAAAAGTCCATAATTAATACACTCTAAAATGTTAAGAAAATAATTTAAATCTGAGTCTAGAGAAAAATTTATTTTTCTCTCTTGAAGTTTACCAACAAAATAAATTGTAGTTTAAATGGTAAGATTTAATAATTTTTAGGTGCAATATTAAGATTTCAACATATTTCATTTTGAGGATTTCATAGATATTTAAAGAATGAAATTTACATTGCTTACCTCTAAGATGACTGAAACTGTAGCAAAATGTAAATCGAAATTCCATGTGGTTCTAGATTTGCTCCATCAACATAACATTTCACAGCAACCTGAATTTGACAAATTTATAAATACAGGCTTTATCTTTGAACCTGTTTATAATAATAAAAATAATTCTTGCATTTGATATAGAGCCTTCTCACATTTTCGAGATGTCTCAAAGCACTTCACTGAATATACTGCAAAGTGGATTGATTGTATATTTTGTGGGCGAAACATGGGCAGCCAATCTATAAGTTCTTTTAAGCAAGTGGGCTTCAAAATTAAAACTGGATTCAACAATTTGCCAAATTCTGCACATTATGAAATGCAATGTTAATACCTCTAATGTCATGTTAGTTTATCCAAAACTTGTGAAAAGCTGAGGAATGACTCCTCTTTCTCAAAAAAAAACAGGATGAACAGAAGTGCTTCATTTGTGATTCAAGGTTGCCTTACAATCCCATCAGCTCCACCTACAGCCATTTGATTGAAAATGTCATCACAGCTTTTGCACCTGACCGGAAGAAGAAATGGTGGCAATCAGCAAATGGTACGTTCAGGGGGAAAGCAGCACAGATGCTGAATGACAGGGGGACGTAGCCTTTAAATCAGAACAAAACCCATTAGAAATAGAGTCAGGAAGCATTCCTTCACATAGTGGCTTGTGAAGTGGTCCGAGACACTATCTTGCATGAAGGGTGCTATAACAACAAGTTTTGCCCCAGAAAGCTGTCAATAGGAATGTTTAAACGAGCTCTGGATAGATACTTGAGAAGTATAAATTTTAAAGGGTATGACAAAAGGGGAATTTGATTAAAATATCTGCCAAAATCTAATAAATTGGTGTAACAGTTTGTTGAATGGCCACCTCCTGATTAGGTTTTCCTTTGTTCCCAACTACAGTATTAGCTAATAGAATGCTAAACTCTGCCATTTAAAGCACAATATTGCAACACATGCCTTCATTGTTTAAAAGAATACTGCTAAACTAAAACTTCTATCCATTATAGAACAGAACTTTCTGGTAATTTCCTATTATTTTACTGATTATTTCTGTGGACGATAGATTTTAAATATTTAGTTTGCACCTAGTCTCCATGTGTTTAGACCAATCCCAATATTAAGCCCTGTTTTCCCACATCCCCAAACAACCCTAAATTCAACCTCTCCTCCCTACAAACATTCCAGGTTCCAGTCACTCATTCCTTCTAATCGATTAGCCCTCTTATCCCTCCTCACTCCTATGCCATCTCTCCTGATTCTATGTAGTGGACGGTCTCCCAGCCATTAAGAACTTTTTTACATATTCACAGAATCATAGAATCGGGCCATTCGGCCCATCGAGTTTGTGCCGGCTCTTTGAATAGAGCAATTAATGTCAATCCCACTCCCCAGCCCTTTCCCCACAATCCTCTAAACCCATCCTCCTCAAATACCCATCCACAGTGTTTTTTAAAGTAGTTATTGAATCGGCCTCCACCACCCTTTCAGGCAATGCGTTCCGGATTCGAACAACTCGCTGCATGAAAACATTTCTTCTCACCTCCCCTCTGATTCTTTTGGAGACTATTTTGAATCTGTGACCTCGAGTCACCAACACACCCACCAGTGGAAACAGTTTTTCCCTTTCTAACCTATCAAATCGCCTCATGATTTTGAAGACCTCTATTAGGTTTCCTCGTAACCTTCTCTGCTCCAATGAGAATAATGCTAACCTCACTAGCCTTTCCTCATAATGAAGGTCCCTCATTCCTGGTACCATCCTCGTAAATTTCCTCTGCACCCTTTCCAATGCCTTAACATCCTTCCTGTAGTGTGGTGCCCAGAACTGGACGCAGTATTCTAACTGAGGCCTAACCAGTGTTTTATATGGGTTAATCATAACCTCCTGACTCTTGTACTCTATGCCCCTATTTATAAAGCCTAGTATCCCATATGCCCTTTTGACAGCTTTCCTGCCACCTTCAAGGATTCATTTACCTGAACCCCCAGGTCTCTCTGTTCTTTTATCCCCCTTACGATTGTATTATCTAGTATTGTATTATATTGCCTCCCCTCATTCTTTCTACCAAAATGCATTATCTCGTATTTCTCCACATTGAAATTCATCTGCCATGTGTCTGCCCATTTTACCACTCTGTCTATGTCTTCCTGCAGTTGGCTGCTATCCTTCTCACTGTTTAATACCCTACCTAACTTTGTGTCGTCCACAAACTTGGAAATGGTACTTGCTATACCCAAGTCCACATCATTTATATATATTAAGAAGAGCAGTGGTCCTAATACCGATCCCTGGGGGACACCACTGTACACTTCCCTTCAGTCAGAAAAGCAGACGTTCACCACAACTCTCTGCTTTCTGTCTCCCAACCAGTTCTGGATCCATACTGCCACTGTCCCTTTTATACCATGAGCTTCTATCTTTCTTACAACTCTTTCATGTGGCACCTTGTCAAATGCCTTTTGAAAGTCCATATAAACTACATCAACTGCACTACCTTTATCCACCCTCTCCGTTACCTCATCGAAAATTCTATTAGATTTGTTAGACAAGATTTGCCTTCAACAAATCCATGTTGGCTGTCCCTAATTAATCCATATTCTTCTAAATGAAGATTTATTCTGTCCCGGATTATAGTCTCCAGGAATTTCCCCACTACTGATGTCAGGCTGACTGGCCTGTAGTTCCCAGGTTTGTCCTTCTGTCCCTTTTTGTACAGGGGAGTCACATTGGCCACTCTCCAGTCCTCTGGCACCACTCCTGTGTCCAACGAAGATTGAAAAATTGTAGCCAAAGCTTCCGCTATTTGTACCCGTGCCTCCCATAGTAAACTTGGCTGCATCCCGTCCGGACCGGGCGACTTATCTTCCTTCAGTGCAGTCAACCTTTTCAGTACTTCCTCTCTGTTTATACTTATCCTATCCATTTCACTCTACGCTCTCCTCCAATACTGCAGCATTTGGTGCATCTACTTCTTTTGTGAAGATAGATGCAAAGTATTCATTCAGCACATCAGCCATGCCCTCTGCCTCCACAATAAGATTTCCCCCTTGGTCCTTAATTGGCCCCACCTTTACTATTACTACAGATATTTTACACTCTAAATTTGAACAGTTTATTAAAACTAGCAAATCTTTCTCATTAACAAGCCAATATGCAATAGAGGAATTTGGAGTCATGTTTCAAGAGTTCAAGCTTGTGTGTTGTGAGCTGCTACCAATGGTATTGTACCAAACTCATCTCGCAGAATACTTTTCAAACACATGAATTTCTTTGTTGTTGTAGGTATGAATAAAGTCAGCATTCAGTTGGACTTGGATGCACTTTTTCAATTCAGCCACCTTATTCTTTCCTTCAAGGTAACAATTTAAAGTCTTGATGAATAAAGTTATAATCCACTGAAAAATAGCAATTAGTCTTTCAAATACTATTGTGTTAAGTCTTGTTTATTTTGACTCATTGAATGGAAAAATTCACCGGTTGGTAAAGTTACTGATCTTGACACCATGTGCTCATCGTGATTTCTACAGTGATTTCTCCAAGTAAGAAACCCCTTTAATTTAGGCACAGCAACTGGTTTACAAACCCATTGTCTGATTAGCGACTGACATTTCAGAATTGAAGGAAATTTATATTATTCAGATTATAAAAATCAAAATGATGAGAAACACAGTAGGAATGGTACTGACTCGGTAACCCAGAGGTCATAGCAGTTGTGTAATGATTTGAGAAACTGGTTATTTGAGCCAACATTGAAAAATAGCAAAACCGAAGTGATGCATTTATGTACTTCAGGGAAAAGAAATTTGCAATCCTTACCTAGCCTCCATGTGACTCCAGTCCCATATGATATGGTTGAGTCTCAAAATGCTCATCTAAAACACACTCAGATCTTGTAATTGCTGTGAAAAGGCAGCTGTTTAAAGAGACTGACAACCACTTTCTCAAGGCAATCGGGAGTAGTAAAATGCCAGCATGATGCCAGTCAAAATGGCCATATCCTGCAACAGAGTAAAAAATAATGTACCATATTGAACTGTAATATTGGCACTTCTTCAGTTCAAAATATATTGAATGTTTGCTGATGTTGCTGTTTGTTATGCGGTTTGCACATTGTTTTATGCTTGTAATATGCTATCTGCCATTGTGATCATAGAATCATAGAATTATACAACACAGAAGGAGGCCATTCAGCCCATCGTGTAGGTGCCGGCTCTTAGAAAGAGCTGTCTAAATTAGTCCCACTTCCCCACTCTCTCCCCATAGCCCTGCAAATTGTCCTTCCCAAATATCTATCTAGATACAAGGCGGTGTAAGATACAAAGTCTTTTTTTTCACATAAACACCAAACCAAATATACTAACCACCCTCTACGTAAAGTACTGCACACCATAGGGTGGATTTATTTTACAACAACAACAAGATTCCATTTATAAAGCGCCTTTCACGTCAGGAGGACGTCCCAAGGCGCTGCACAGTTGGGTCAGGACCCGAGCAGGGGGGAAATGGTCAGGGTGAGGGGAGGGAAGGGAGGGAGCAAGGAGGGGGGAAATGGTCAGGGTGAGGGGAGGGAAGGGAGGGAGCGAGGAGGGGGAAGAGAGTCGAGAGGGGAGCTGAAGGCTCGGTCAAAGAGAAAGGTTTTGAGACCGGCCTTGAAGGAGGAAAGGGAGGAGGCGGCGAAGGCACTGGGGGATGGAGTTCCAGAGCCTCGGGGCTGAGAGGCTGAAGGCCCGACCACCGATGGTAGGGCGATTGGGGCGGGGGATGTGGAGCAGACCAGAGCCAGAGGAACGGAGGGTACGGGCAGGTAGGTAGGGGGATAGTAGGTCAGAGAGGTAGGAGGGAGCGAGGCCGTGGATGGCCTTATAGGTGAGGATGAGGATCTTGAAATCAATCCTCTGGGGGATGGGGAGCCAGTGGAGGCGAGCGAGGGTGGGAGTGATGTGGTCCCGAAGCCTGGTGCGGGACAGTACACGAGCTGCAGAGTTCTGAATGACCTGCAGCTTGTGGAGGGAGGTGCCGGGAAGGCCGGCGAGGAGAGAGTTCCCATAGTCCAGCCTTGAGGTGACAAAGGCGTGGACCAGAGTTTCAGCAGCGTGAGGGGTGAGGTAGTGCCGTAGTCTGACGATGTTCCGGAGGTGATGGAAGGCGGTGCCAGTTGTGGTGCGGATGTGAGGGAGAAAGGACAGCTCAGTCCATGTATTTCTCAAATGTAAAACATTTCTGTTGTTTTCTAGTTAAATTAATAATAATAATAATAATAATCCTTGCATTTGATGTAACGTGAAATTCCTCTGACATATGTTACAATAGCTTATAATCATGTTATAATCATGGGTGTTCAATGTGATAAATTAAACAGTCCATGTTTAAGCACTACAATTTTGACAATCTGATTAACTAAAACATTTCTAAGACATGTGAACTCCAGAACAACAAGCATACTAAAAAGAGAAAGATAAATAAATAGGTAGCTACTCAATTGATTCTACTCTGGCAGAGGTGAGGCTGACAATGATGGACTTGCCTGATCCACAGTATGCAAATCAAGATAATTCTGTTTTCTGGCCAAGCTCCTTTGCATGGGTGAAATCTGTCTAAAAGCCAACACAGCAGTTTCGGTGTATACTCTATAGGAGGAATATCCTTATTCATTTGAGGAGTGAACACAGCCTTCAGTGCAGTTTTCAATAAAAATTATTTGCAGATAATTTATAATTGTTTTCATATTTATGGTTGATTCTTTAAGATTATGTGTGCAAACAAGAACTGATCCCATTTTGACATGTCTAGCACATTGTTTTAGATTAATATTCACGATTCAGCTTGGGGCACAATCAAAATCAGGGCTGTGCTGATCTCTACTCCCCGTCCATTGTTATATCCTCAAAACAATACTGATCAACTTACATTGTCCTCAAGAGGAATATTCTTATCAGATTTTTTTTCCCCAGACATTCCGCCCTGCAGCAATGCTGGTTGAGAGATCCTCGGATTATGGTCACACGTGGAAAGTATTTCGATATTTTTCATTTGACTGTGGAGATTCCTTCCCAACTGTTCCCACTGGGCCTGCACAGAAAGTGGATGATGTAATATGTGACTCAAAGTACTCAGATCTTGAACCATCCACAGATGGAGAGGTACAACTTTAGATATTCTTCACTTATGGTCAAGTCCATGGCTAACAAAGTTTAGCAGGCAGGTACCATGGTGTTCCATTCACAGTTAATCTGTTTGTTATAGGTTCTCACTTGGGTTTTTGACTTTTGTGTCAAACAGTCAAGTCATTGGTTATTGTAAATCCACCAGTTTATATCAGCCGACAGGGATTTAATTCCCTGAATGTACAAATGCAGTTTGCATTCAAGGAAGGTCATGTATGTCAGTATAAAATATCCCAGAGTCACCAGCTTTTACTCAATGTTTAATGACACCAGTGGTGCCCCCACAAATCCCAGCTGAGGTCTGGCAATAAATAAAACAAAGCAAAATTCTGATTACAATAGTTTGGATAAGGAAGGCCCTTCAAGCCTGGGATCTCATCCCTTTGGAATAGCAACCCTACTACCATCCATCACTGCATCAAGCTGCAGTGTCCTGGCTTCAACCACCCTTCCTACCAACCTGTTCAAGAGCTGAGAAACAGTACACAGTCAACAGCATTCCTATATACATGTAGTCCAGCCTCTTACTGAACCTGAATTATTTGGCCCAAGTATCTTAGATTTAATGTTTAAGCTATTAGAAATATTATAAATATGATGGCATAGTTAGGAATTTAGATTGTATGTATTAGAACAAATAATATTTTATTTAAAATATTTGATTGCAGGTTGTTCTAAAAGCACTGGATCCAAATTTCCAAATCTACAATCCACACAGTCCTCAGATACAGGGTATGTATTTGCAGTATAGTATATTGGTGTAGACCCCCATTTTCAACTTTAAATTACTCCATGGTTTCACCCTACCCTACCTCAGCGACTCCCTCAAGTCCAACCAACCCAACCTGCTTCATGTGCCCTCTACCTGCTCTACCATCTGCAAACAGTTTCTCTTTAGATCCCCATTCTCTTTAACTCTATCATGGAGTCCCTCCGACTCCTCCCTCCCTTATCTCATTCAGGATCTATCTAAAGGATCTATCTCAAGGCTCCAGCCTGCTCCATGTCCCCCGACCCACCCGCCCCACCATCGGCGGGAGAGCCTTCAGCCATTCTGCCCCCAACCTCTGGAATTACATCTCCCAATCACTTTGCCTCGCCCCCTCCTTAGCCTCCTTCAAGTCCCATCTCAAAATCCTCCTCTTCAACCATCAATCACGCCCCCTTCCCCTCCCCTCCCTTCTCCCTCCCTGACCCCAGCTCGGGTCTGAAACGTTGTACATTGTCCAGTGCCTTGGGATGTCCTCCCGACATGAAAGGCGCTACACAAATGTAATCTTGTTGTTGTTGTTGTTGTTATCTCTTTTACCACAATTTTGGTCATCTTTCCCCTTTCCATCCTCCTTGGCTTCCACCCAGAGCTAGGGTGCCAAGCCAGTTTTGTTAAGTGCCTTCATATCCTGCCATGAAAGGCACTATGTAAATGTAAATTTGTATTGTATCCTGAATCAATGATTCCACTTTAATTTTCCCCCTAAACTTAACAGATCATCATTTTACAAGGGTTAAAGGAATTAATTTATTACAAACACCTCTCACATGAAGAAAGAACAATTGAAAGCATCCAATGTAGTCTACGTTTCATTCTTAATATTTTATCACATAAAATGCTGTATAAATAAATACTCAATGAATATTATTTTTTGATCAGCTGGGTAATCCGCCATATATGGAATTCTCAGTCTACTTTGAATACTCTTAAGTATGGCGATGGATTTCTGCATGCACCAGACACCTGGCTGACCAAAAACAACAACTTGCATTTGTATAGCACCTCTGTTGCAAGATAGTGTATGGTGGAGCTGGGGAGACCGGTGAAGAGGGCAATTGAATAATCGAAGCGGGAGGTGACAAATGCATGGATGAGTGTTTCAGCTGCATCTGGGTTAAGATATGGTTGGAGGCAGGCAATGTGGCAGAGGTAGAGCAAGGCGTTTCTGGTCAGAGACCAGATATGGGTAAAGAATGACAGCTATGAGTCAATCCTGACCCCTATGTTGTGCACTGGTTCGGTGAGTTTGAGGGATAGACCGGGGAGGTTGAGGTCAGAGCCACAGGACAGATGACATTGACGGGAGTCGAGGAGTATGGCTTTTGTCTTATCGACATTTAGTTGTATGACATTTGAGCTCATCTGGGTCCTGATGTTTGCCAGGTAAGTCGACAGAACATCGGCGGACCTGGAATCGCAGCTGCAGAAGTAGATTTGTGTGTCATCGGCATACATGTGGATGTTTACCCTGGGTCTGTGGATGTCATTGCCAAGAGGCAACATGTAGATGAGGAAGTGGAGAGGGCCAAGCATGGAGGCTTGGGGTACACCACAGGTGACTAGGTGGAGGCGGGAGGAGAAAACGTTTGAAGAAGCAAAGTGAAGACGGTTTATTTGGTCGGACTTGAAACAGGCAAGTGCGGTCCCACTAAGATGGATGAGGAAGGAGAGGCGGTAGGTGAGGATGGCATGGTCGACTATGATGTATGTAGCGGAGAGGTCTAGGAGGAGGCAGAGGGAGCCCTGGTTAAAGAGAGAGGACGTCATTTGTGACCTTGACAAGTGCCGTCTCTATGCTGTGGGCAGGGCGGAAACCAGAATGGAGGGGCTCGAGGAGAGAGTGGAAGGAGAGGTGAGAGCAAACACGACCAAAAAAAAGGAACTGTAGTATGAAGAATTTATTCATTGATAGCATTGCATTCAAAAGTGCTTTCGATTCATAGCCTTTCTAATTCAGAAAATATTAAATGTCTACTTTTGCCTACACAGTAAAGTCATTTTCTCGGAAAGTCCTTGGTAGCAGGCATTTCACTGTATCAGAGCCAGCTGAATGACCATCACTCTTAAATCTGGCTATAAATTGGTCAGTATAGTTTGAAATTACTACACTTCCACACTGATTAAAAGATTCTCCGATTAAAGGAAAATGCTGCATGATTTTTTGGAGGTGTGAGGTGCACTTAAAACTGACTGAGTGCTTTGCAAAACCACTTTTCTTACAATTAACTATTCCTTTAGCTAAAGAAGAATAAATGCTTGAGAATTATAAACACCGAGATGCACAGTTGTGGAATGTCATTAATTGGGTGGTAAGTAGAATTGAGCCTTTAACATTTTTTTTCTGAAGATAAGCAGGTTTCTGGTCCAAACTTGCACTGCATTGTGAAGTTTGGTCATTTTACTGCTGTACAATGTGGAATTACTATGACATTATACAATTATTAATTGCACGAAATAGAGCTACAAATTTTCTTCCATTCATATGTATCCATCAGAGCTTATAACTTTTACCAATCTTCGAATAAATTTCACCCAACTCCACACACTCGGAGATATACGTTTGCGAAAACGACAGACTGAAGAAAAATATTATTACGCTTTGTATGAAATGGTTATTCGAGGGAGCTGTTTTTGCAATGGACATGCCAGCCAATGTGTTCCTGTCAATAACATACGAGGTGACATCTTTAGTCAGCAGGGGATGGTGAGTAGAATGCTTTATGTAGGTGTGGAATAGTACATTCCTCAACTTCAATTTTATAATACTCTTTTAATATATTGAAGTGAAAAATTAATTGAAAGTGTTCAAAAACATGTAACTACACATATCATGCACCATAAGGTGCATACATATGTTTACAACACAAGTAGACAAACACCCATTGTGTAAAAAAAACTCATTATATAAGCAGAGACATCAGGAAATAATGGATAACAGATGAGCACTACAAATATATATATATATATATATATATATACATATATATGCTGGGTGATCTGGTTAGAATGTGCCTCAATTGAGCATGGGTTTGGACCCATGCCATACCCAATGTTAATCTTTGGTAATCCTGATTTCTGCACTGATAAACCAGCTTCGTTCATGAAAAATGACAAACTTTGGGGTCGTCAGGTTGCCGGTGAAATCACTTCCTGCATGTGCAAGAATATAAGCGTAGACTCATATAAGTGAACCCACGACATTACATACATGTAGTGAAGACGGATGTAATGCACAAGATGAACCCAGAGTTACAACAGAATTTCTCTGCATATGGTATATATGACGTATATTTATATAAAAAATACAGTGTATTTTCTAACACCAAATTGTTAACGGGACACTTAATCTTTGAATAAAAAAGTTACAGGAAGTAATTCAATAATCAAATCAATCTGCATTAAAAATGTTTCCATAGGTTCATGGGAAATGTGTTTGTCAGCATAATACTGAGGGTGTGAATTGCGAGCGATGTAAGAATGTGTTCAAAGATTCTCCTTGGCAACCAGCTGGAGGAGGCCAGGCACATGAATGCAGAAGTAAGCACTCATTGTAACACCATATTGGATTTTATTTCACTATATCCCATATTTTCTAACCATATCCCATATTCATGTCTCACACACCTTCATACATAAACATATGACATAATATGACATAAATATGTCATACGAAACCCTCATACACACCTTCATTACATCAAGGCTCGACTATGCAAATTCACTGCTTGTCGGCCTCCACAACTCCTCCCGCTACAGGCTGCAGTTCATCCAAAACTCTGCAGCCTGTGTCCTCTCCCGCACTAGTCTCCGCGACCCTATCACCCCCATCCTCACCCAACTCCACTGGCTTCCCATCACACAGAGCAGTTCAAAATCCTGGTTCTCATCTTCAAAGCCCTTGCTCCCCCCTACCTCTCTGACCTCCTAACCCCCTACCACCCTGTTCGCTCCCTCTGCTTAGGGGGCTACGGCCTGCTCCATGTCTCCCAGCTTGCTCACCACACTCTCGGTGGGTGGGCTTTCCACCACTTTGCACCCACCCTCTGGAACTCCATCCCACAGTCCCACCATCTCGTCCCCTCTTTCACCACCTTCAAGACCCACCTCAAGACCCTCCTCTTCGACTGTGCTTTCAATCTCTCTGCCCTCCAACCTCTCCCACCCTGACCCCCAGCTCGGGTTCATAACTCTGTCTGTCCAGCGCCTTGGGACATCCTCCCAACGTGAAAAGCACTATGCAAATGTAATTTTGTTGTTGTTCTCTTTGACCGTGCCTTCAGCTCCCCTCTCGACTCTCTTCCCCCTCCTCGCTCCCTCCCTTCCCTCCCCTCACCCTGACCATTTCCCCCTCCTTGCTCCCTCCCTTCCCTCACCCTGACCATTTCCCCCCTCCTCGCTCCCTCCCTTCCCTCCCCTCACCCTGACCATTTCCCCCCTGCTCGGGTCATGACCCAACTGTGCAGCGCCTTGGGACGTCCTCCTGACATGAAAGGCGCTTTATAAATGGAATCTTGTTGTTGTTGTTGTTGTTGGTGTTATGGCTGGTTTAGTTGGAGGCACGCTCACCTCTGAGTCAGAAGGATGTGGGATCAAGCCTCAGGATGGAATTTTGAGCTGATATTCTTGGCTGACACTCCATTGCAGTGCTGGGAAAGTGTTTAATCATCAGAGTTATGCTCTTTCGAATTAAATGTTAAACTGAGGCCCTGTTCAGATGGCTGTTAAAAATCCCATGACATAATTCAAAAAGAGAAGTTGCGTCCTCTGTCCTGGCCAGCAATCCTCGAGATAAAAATTGTTTACGGCTAATTACACGGAAAAAAGTAGTAGGACTTGTCACACCTGCACCTGCATGTGATTACAAACAGCAGCTTCTAAAGAGAACTGTACAGCAGTATAAAATGCTTAGAGAAAGAGTTTGTTTTACTCCTCTGATGTTAACATTTTTTTAAAGTTGTTTGAACAGGCAATATGTTAATTAAAGTCAATGAAAATTTTAAATTCATTTTCTGTTCCAGGATGTAACTGCAATGGCCACTCAGAAAGGTGCCATTTTGACATGGCAGTGTACTTGGCCAGTGGAAGGGTCAGTGGTGGGGTCTGTGAAGAGTGTCAGCACAATACAATGGGGCAACATTGTGAGCAGTGCAGGCCATTCTACTATCACGATCTTGGCAGATCACTTTCTGACCCAGCTACCTGTGTGTGTAGGTTTACTTTTTGTGTTACATTACCGGATTAACTAATGGGAGCTAAAAATATGAAATAACTTAAATATTAAGTTTAAAATTGAATAAATGTATAAAATTAAAAGGATTCAGGTGTTTGCAATTATAAAAGGATTCAATAGTATTTATAAAGTGTACAAAGAATGTACAGCAGAGGGAAACAAGCCATTGCTTTATTTCATTCCACAAAGCCTTGTAGAAACCTGTCAAAATAGTCTTTTGTGAATTTCCTAATGTAAATTCCATGCATTACAAGTGTATTCCTGAATTTCTTGAGATTGATAGGACTCAAGTGGCTTATTATTGCAGGTGCGTTGTTAGTGGTTAATATTTTTTTTGCAATGAACACTACCAAAATTATATCCCTTAGAAATTAAAGAATTGCAAGTTCCCACCAAAGCTCCGTGTTTTTTTAAAAAAATACACAGGTTTTTCTTCTGTGGTTTGGACAAACAATGTTGGGTGCATTGTAAGCTGAAAACCAAGATGAAGTATTGTAGCTCCAAGCAGACATTGTGAAGAAATATTCTGCTATAATAACTATTGCTATTCTCTAATCAACAGCATGTACCTGTGATCCTGAAGGCTCTTTGAGTAATGGATTGTGTGAAAGTCATTCAGACCCAATTCTTAATACAGTTGCTGGCCGTTGTATTTGTAAGAGAAATGTTGAAGGAACAAGATGTGATCAATGCAAGCCTGGTTACTTTGGACTGAGCGCTGTTGATCCTGAGGGATGTAAAGGTGTGTATCATTTTTTCTTTGAAACAAAGTTTGCTTTATTTTCCTATTATTTATTGGAAGAATGATGCTTTACCACTGCAGTTTTCCGATAAACACACACCGGATCCTCAGCTAACTCTGATCCTACCTCTTAAAAGCTAATTTTGATTATCAACAATTTACAGACACTCTTTCTTGTAAGATTTTTACAAAATGATAAATAGATAATTTGGAAGGCTGAAAAGTCATTCAATTTTGAAAGTGTACAAGAGCCGGTATCAATGATATTTTCCTTGAGTATCAGATATCACATTTCCTGACAGTTGGATTGTTATGATCAGCATATTTGCAGTCCTCCAGTTATATGATTTATTCTAATTAGCAATCTACATACATTTCCATCCTCTCATACATTGATACTTTATTCTTCAAATGTCTTCATATATAAATATGCCAGTATGTTGTTTTTCTTTACTCTAATGATATTCCAGTTATCTCTTTGTAATCACTCTTTTTCATCTACAACATCCTGATCAACCTTTTTCAGTATCTGTGTCACAATAACTTGATCCTTTACACCTACATTAGATGTTTGTTAAGTATTATTAAACCTGCCATCGTACAGACACAAGGTGCTAGAGATCTCTGACACATGGATAGCACAATCTCAGCAATAAGCCAAACCTAAGCAAATGATGTGAAAGTAACCTTACCAATAAATTAGCATTTGTGGTTTGCTCTCTCTCGTGGAAAATTTCAGAGTTCAGTATTATTGCCTGCAGGACAGGCCACTGTTGGCTCCAAGACAATGAAAATCAGTTCAAGCTTGTTCCCACATTCAAACCATTTATTTAAGAAATCACATAACATGATGAACTCACCAGTGCAGCACTGTCGGACCCAGATTTATACTGAGCCACACACGTGAGCCATAGCAGTAGAGAAGTGTTATACCAGAGAAGCATGTGTGAGTATCCAATTATATAAAGTACAACATGAATTAAAGACATACACAGCAACAGTGTAATCGTAGTGAGATCAGTACAACAGGGACATTGCATGCTTGTGTACAAGTCAAACAAGCATTTTCAAGTACTCAACGCTCAATTCAAACTTTCAGAATAATTCAACAATAATTTTTTAATTTTCAAATGTAACTTCATAAACAAATTATTGAAGTTTGCTCTTGCAAGTTGTTAGTATTTACCTGACACGCATTTATATGCAAAGAAATAGAGACATCATTGGGTGTGAGTTATATTCATTTTAAATATATGGAAATCAGTTTGTGGGAATTAGGTGTTTAATATATATATGTACGTCATTATATTATGACTCAAAAAACATGCATCAATTGAATATACAGTTTTGTTCGATTATTCAGAAGAGTATTATTTTAGATGACTATTTCAATTGAATATTCAAAAAGCCGGCCTAGAGAATTTTTTACCACATACATATAACAACAAGATTACATTTGTATAGAGCCTTTCACATTGGGAGGACATCCGTGTCTAAATAGCCATGCACATGTCTATAAGCAAATTGTAAGCACCAGTGAATGCAGTGAAAACATCCTATTCCAAGTCAATCTACAAGAACTTGCATCAACATTGTGCACTTCACATAGTAAAGTAATGACGGAGTGCTTCATAAGCATGGGGTTGGACTCCAAGCAAGGGAGGGAAGGGGCCATTACACATTCTAAAGACAGAAACAGGTTGAGATGGAATGGTAGGGGAATGAGTTCTAGAGATTAACAATGTAGGAACTGAAGGCTCAGCCATCAAAGGAAGCACAGAGAAGGAGAGAGATGCACAGCAAACCTGAGTTAGCCTCCCAAAGAGAAGATTCAAGAGATAAGGAGGTGCCAGAGTGCGGATGGATTTGTAGGTGAGGGTAAGGAATTAGGATATGAATACAAAAATAGACAGCAGACGTGTCAGTTGATCTACAAAAACAGTAACAGCAACTTACATTAAGTTACATTACATATAGCTCCCTTCCTGCGGGGAATGTCTTTTGAGCACTTAACAGCGGTGTGGTTTGACCCAGGGCTGGAAAGAGAAGAAAGGTGCCCAAAAACAGAGGAAAGTCTTCAGGTGTGATTTGAAAACGGGCAAAGAGGGGGCAAGCCAGGAAGTTCCAGAGATGGTAGTTAAAAGTACAGCCACCAATGCTGGAGAGAGACGAGGGACATGCAGAAGATCCAAGCCAGCTGAACAAAGGTGGGGGGTAGTGGAGTGGGATGTGAGCAGATCAGAGGTAAGGAGGTGCCAGGGCATGAAGTGATTTGAAAGTGAAAGCAAGAATCTTGAAATCCATTCTGCAACTGCAATCCAGTGGAGTCTGGTAAGAACTGGGTGATGGGGTGGATGACAATATGGGCAGCAGTTTTGAATAACTTCAACGTTGTTTATAGTGGAGCTAGGGAGACTGGTGAGGAGCGCATTGGATAAATCGAGACGGGAGGTGATGAAAGCATGGATGAGGGTTTCAGCAACATTTGAAATAAGAAAGGGGTGAAGGCAGGCATGGGTGGAAATAAAGGAAGGCAGACCTGGTCAGGGGCCAAATATGGGATAGGAGGGATAACTGGGGATTGATGCTGACACCAAGGATGCAAACAGGTTCGTGAGTCTGAGGGATAGGCAGAGAAAGTTAAAGAGTTCAGAATCGCAAGTGAGAAGACATTAACAGGAGCCAAGGAGGATGGGTTCCGTCTTGTGTACGTTCAGCTGCTGCACATTGGCACTCAATCAGGCCTTGATATCACACAACCCCCAGGCAGTCAGATCATTGGTAGGATTGGTATCCAGCATGCAGGGTCGGCTTAACCAACAAGTCAGGTAAGGCATGTCTTAAGGCCTTGAAGTCTGAGTGGCTCCCAAAGGTCTGAGGGGACCCCGGCTTTGATTGACGCCTCCACCTCCCAACTGCACCTTTCTCACCATCGCTCTGCACTGTGTGGCTGTGTAGAAAGAGGGAGGTGCGAGTCATACCTCCAGCTCCGCCCCACTTGCTGTCACTCACTGCGTTGCCTGGTACACCCACGTGAGTGACAGCAAGAGGGGTGGAGCTGGAGGTATCAGTCAGAAGGTACCTCAGATGGTCAGACCAGGTGAGAGGCAGCGTGGAGAGCACGAGCCGTGGTCCAGCACCGATACAGCTAAATAGCATTGAAAAAAGATTTTGATGCATACAGTGTTGATGAATTTGAATTCTGGATTTTATATCACATATTAAGTATTAGAAAACTGCGAGAAATGCTAAAGTATATGAAACAGAATCACTTGATGGAATCAACGTTTCCAAATGTGGCAGTTGTTTGTACATTAACAGTACCAGTGAACACTCGTTCTCACAGGAGTCTTATCAAAAACTCCCTCAGATCTACAATGATCAAGGATAGATTGAATGCACTTGCAATTCTATCTACTGAGCACGATTAGACAAGTACATTAGGTTTTGATCACGTTGTTTGAAACTATCTAGTCATGCAAGAAAGTATCTTAAAAAGATATTGTTGCATATTTTGCGTGCATAGTTCAAAGGGCCCCCAAGTGTGATCTGTTTTAGGGCCTCCCAATCCCTTAATCTGACCCTACTAGTATGAATTACAAGATATTGAGGAAGCAGACCAGCATTGAGTAGCTGAGATGTCAGATGGTGAATATTATGGAAATTGATTACAACAACAGCAAATTACTTTTGTATAGCACCTTTCACGTCAGGAAGCCATGCCAAGGCACTGGACAGTCAGGGATTTTGCACCCAAGCTGGTGTTTGGGGTCAGGAGGGGTGGGGGGGCAGTGGAGGGTAGGGCTATGACACAGACTGCAGAGTTCTGGATCATCTGCAGCCTGTGGAGGGAGGAGTTGGGAGGTCAACCAGCATGGAGTTTACATAGTCGAGCCTGGCTGTGATGAATGCGCGGATGAGGGTCTCGGCAGCCTGTGGTGAGAGATGGTAGCAGAGACGGGCAAAGTAGCAGAGGTGGGGAAAGGCGAAGCGGGTCATGGCACAAATGAGGGGGATAAAGGACAGTTGAGGGTCAAACAGAATGCCAAGGTTCCGTTTTTTCTCTGAGGTGTAGAGTGCATCCATGAAGGGTGATGCTGTCAGCATCTGAGGTATGGAGCCGCTGATGGGAGCCAAGCAGGAGGGCTTCGGTCTTGCTGACATTCAACTGGAGGAAGCTTGCTCTTATCCAGGATGTGATGTCGAACAGGCAGTCTGTGAGGTCAGCAGTGGTCCTCGACTCGAGGCTGGAGGCAGAGAGGTAAAGTTGGGTGTCATCTGCATACGTGTGGAAGTTGACCCCATGTCTATGGATGATATCACCAAGAGGGAGCATGTAAATGTTGAAAAGGAGGGGACCCAGAACAGAACGCTGAGGGATGCCTCACGTGACAGTGTGGGGGCTGGAGGAGAAGCCATTAGTGGAGACAAAGTGGAGATGGTAGGAGAGATAGAATTTGAATCACGCACAGGTCCGTGAAGGTTGAGCTGAGAGGAGAGGCGGTGGAGGAGGATAAATTGTCAACAGTGTCGAAAGCAGCAAAGAGGTCTAAGAGAACAAGGAGGCAGAGAGAGCCTTGGTTGCAGATGGACAGCACGTCATTAGTGACTTTGACAAGAGCTGCTTCCATGCTGTGGGCAGAAGCTAGGACGCAACAATTCAATCCAGGGCCTTGGAGAGGAAAGGGAGGTTGGAGGTGGGGCGATAGCTGGAGTGTAGGGATGGGTCCAGGGAAGGGTTTTTGAGGGTGCGGGTGATGACAGTTGTGTTAGAGAGGTGGAAATAGTGCCTGTGGATAAGGAGAGATTGATGATATTGGTTAAAAAAGAGGCCAGGAGGTGAAGCTGGAAGGTAACAAGAGTATTGAGGATGGTGTTGAGGGGGCAGGTGGTTGGGATCAGAAAGTATCTAGGCAATATTTTCCCTGGAAGTTTGAGTAGTAGGCTAAGATTAAGGATGAAGATAAAGTCAGTTTTCATTCACAAAATAAAAAAAAGGTTCAAATTTAGCACATTAAAATCCAGGATACATTTGGTGACTCAAATGGCCATCTGCCATTTTATTCTTATTATATTCTTAATCTTAAATGCGGGGTTCTATGGAAAGTAGGGGAAATGGCAGCATGGTGTAAATCAACTGGATCATCATGTCTACTCCACACAATTAAACTATAGTATTATATTTATGCTGTATTTCCACAATGTTCTTTGTCAATGTGTATTTTCTGTGCCTGAGAAAGTGCAATATCTATGAGGACAGCTGGGAACAGTTTGCTTCAAACTCCATCTTGTGGCTGCCCGGTAAAAAGTCATTCTATCACATGGAGACTTTTATTTTTGAAAAACATCATTTTGATTATTTGCTTCATTGTCTTTATGTAAAGTTTACTCAAATATGCACCTCCAGTGACTGTCTCACGCAGCAGGCTGCCGAGACGCTCATTCACACATTCATCACATCCAGGCTCGACAACCAAACTCCCTGCTTGTCGGCCCCCAATTCCTCCCTCCACAGGCTGCAGATCATCCAGAACTGTGTAGCCCAATGTGTTCTGCAGCACCAGGCTCCACTACCCTAACAACCCCATCCTCCACTGGCTCCACATGACTCAGAGGATACAGTTCAAGATCCTGGTCCTCACCTTCAAAGCCCTCCATGGCTTTGCTCCTCCCCAACCTCTGTGACTTACTAACCCCCTACCAATCTGTCCGCTCCCTCCACTCAGCGGGCTCCAGCCTGCTTCAAGTCCCCCACTTTGGTCGCCCCGCCATTGGTGTGTGAGCCTTCAGCCTCTCGGCCCCCACCCTCTGGACTCCATCCCACAGTCTCTCCGCCTCACCCCCTCCCTTGCCTCCTTCAAGACTCGTCTCAAGACCCTCCTTCAAACGTGCCTTTGTTGACTCTCCTACCCCTAACCTCCCCGCCCCCACCCTTCCTGATCACAACCACCGGTTCGGGTGTTGATCCCTGACTGTCTAGCGCCTTGGGACATCCTCCTGATGTGCAAGATGCTATACAAATGTAATTTTTGTTGATGTTAATGTTGTAAAAAAGGTAAGGTTCAAGAGAACGGTAGGAAGTTGTTTTCTGAAGTTTCCTGAGCCCATTAAAAAGGTTTTGTGCTCACCCACAAGATCACCCTTTAAACTAAGCAAGTGCATAAACATATTGCTCAAAACCAATACTGTTCTTAAATTCTAATCTCCATACAACTTGGTTTAATGTGAGATATCATGCACAAAAAAAACAAACTTTCATCAGTCATAGTACACAATAGTTTAATGACAGTAGCAATGCACTAAGCAGTTACAAGTGCATATCACATATCTGTTTCTATTCTATCTTGTATCTAGAAAACACCTCCAAAAGCACTTTTGTTTAAAACAAAACCGTCTTGTAGTCAATCTGCAATAATTTGAATGAATAACTCAAATATATGTGATATCAAAAGGCATTTGACAAAGTGCCACATAAGAGACTTATAAATAAAATAGAAACAAACCCATGGTATTACAGGGATTGTGGCAACATGGATCCAGAACTGGCCAGGAGACAGAAAGCAGGTAGTAAATGGTTGCTTTTCTGACTGGAGGGAGGTGTATAGTGTTGTCCTTCATGGGTTGGTATTGGGACCACTGCTCTTTCTGAACTATATTAATGATCCGGATTGGATATAGGGAGCACAATTTCCAAAAGTAATGGTGAGAAGGATAGCACCAGACTCCAAGAGGACTTAGACAGATTGGTAAAATGGGCAGAAACGTAGCAGATGAGGTTTAATGTGGAGAATTGTGAAGTGTTGCATTTTGGTAGGAAGAATGAGGAGAGGCAGTATAAGCTGATGGTACAATCTTAAAGGGAGCAAATGAACAGAGAGACCTGGGGGTCCACATAAACAAATCTCTGAAGGTGGCAGGACAGGTAGATACAGCTGTTAAAAAAGCATACGGGATACAAGGTTGTATAAATAGGGACATAGAATTCAAAAGCCAGGAGGTTATGTTGAATATTTATAAAATGCTGGTAAGGCCTCAGTTGGAGTACTGCGTTCAGTTCTGGGCACCACACTTTAGGAAAGATGTTAGGGCATTGGAGAGGGTGCAAAGGAGGTTTACCAGGATGGTACCAGGAATGAAGGACCTTAGTTATGAGGAGAGTTTAGCAAAACTAGGATTATTCTCCCTAGAGCAGAGAATATCAAGAGGAGATTTAATAGAGGTTTTCAAGATCATGAGAGGATTTAATAGGTTGAACCGGGAAAAACTGTTTCCACTGTCATGTGGGTCAGTAACCCGAGGACACCGATTTAAGTTAGTTGTTAAAAGATACAGAGGGGAGGTTAGGAACATTTTTTTCATCCAGAGAGTTGTTCGGATCTGCAATGCATTACCTAAAAGGGTAGTGGAAGTCGATTCAATAACAACTTTTAAGAGAGTAGATGGGTATTTGGGGAAGACAGGATTGCAGGGCTACAGATAGAAAGCAAGCCAGTGGGATTGAGTTGGATTGCTCTTTTAGGAGCTAGCTCAGACAGGATGGGCCAATTGGCCTCATTCTGTGCTGTCTGATTCTATGATTGTATGACTTATGTGTAGAATAAGTACCAGTTATAACTTTATTAGCATTTTGATACAGTTAGCATGTGACGGCCGACTAACTTTTACATTTTCCAGCTTGTCAGTGTGACTCTGGTGGCAGTGTGTTAGAACCATCAGCCTGTGACTCGGTTACCGGAGAATGCTTCTGCCAGCGATTTGTCACTGGACGTAACTGTGACCAATGCCTGGTATGTGCTAATATACTCTCCCTCTCCAAAGTTACATAGAATGCTACAGGATGGAAACAGGCCATTCGACCAGAGTCCATGCCAGTGTTTATACTCCATCTGAGTCCCCACCACTCCAAATCCCCTCTATTCCCTTCTCCATTATGTATTCCTTTGTCTGCATCAAGTCTTCAGCTTAAACTACAGCTTCCAGCAGTGAGTTCCACATTCTCACTACCCTCTGTGTAAAGAGGTTCCTCCTAAACTCCCTTTTACATTGGTTACTGGCAATCTTATATTTATATGCTTTTGATTTCTAATTTTACTTTCAATTTTTTTTCCAGCACAAAAAGAGTTAAATTAAACACTTATGGTTAATGGGCTCATTAATCCCAGAAATTATTTTAGAGGTTATTAAAATTATTAACTTTTTTCTATTTTGGAGGAGATCATGAAAAGGATAAAGTGGAATGACAGCAAACTGACATTACTATATCATCCTTTCATTTGTTGAATCGGTGTTTGACTCCAAACAGATCAGATATCAATATGCTGTCCCTTTCTAGTAGATTTTATTGTCTCACGTTTTAAGCAGTCTAAGCCATTTTCCTGCAGGCGTGAATGTGCTTATCATTCATTATTGGTATTTCCATTTATTTTAAGCTAATGTTCAGTTAATTATAAGTTGTTATACTCATTGCTGAGCATGGCTTCCCAGGCTCATGAGAAAAAACAGAAAAGAATAAACACAATATATTTTCAATTAGGACAATTAGGAAAGTTATTAACATTCTATAATGTTTTTTATAAAACTAGTTTACAATACTGATTCTAATGGTGTCCTTGTTACTGCATTTTGCTGCAGCCTAACTACTGGGGCCTTGGAAACACTGTGTATGGTTGTTCTCCCTGTGACTGTGATATTGGAGGGGCCTATGACAATTTGTAAGTATGACTACCAGCAGCACTTGTTTTATTGAACTGTCATTTAATATTCTTACTTCTGAAATTCATAATACAATCGGAGTTCAGAAGTGGTAAAAGAACATTGCTGAAATTAAGTTTACCGTGTTCTGCCTGAATACATGCACCTGGAATAATTTTCCATTGTTTTCCAATCCCCAAACTAGTGTAGCTTGGTGAACTGATGCCAAATCTCCACCATAGCCAATCTAAACCTGGCTACTAGGATTGATTTGCAGTGATTTTATTTCATTTTTTTTCTCTCTTTGCACTCCTCAGTGGGTCTTTCAAACAGCCCAGCCTGACTGGGAGCTTAGTCAGTGAGATGTCTCTATACCGGTGAAAGTACTTCTGTGAATCTGGGATTGTGAGGATGATGAAGTCTCTGCTTTGGTGTGGAACTGTTGCAGATGCTGAATAATTACCACTGTTGTACTGTAGAAATGTAGTACATATTACACTTCTGTCAGGATTTGCTGAGACTTCACATTCTTTGTGTATTTGCAGTTGTTCTTCATATGATGGACATTGTCGCTGTCTTCCTAACATTATTGGCCATCGATGTAATGAACCAGCTCACAGCTACTTCTTTGCTCCATTGGACTATTATTTGTACGAGGCTGAGCTTGCAGAGCAACTGGGAAATAGTGCTTCTCTGGTCTGTACTTCGTAAAAATCAGTTAAGAATATGTCACAAACATTGAGGAATCTAACTCACTACCTCAAACACATTTCATATGCTATAAATGTAGAACTGAAGTAATTTACTTAAAAGTCAGTAGTTAATATGGGTACAATTTATACACCAGTATCACTTACGATACCAATTTTACAATAAATGTAACACATATACCATTTAAAATTATTTTTAACATGTTGAATAGGCTACCTAGGGAGGCAATGGAGATAGATGATGCCAACAAATTTAAGAAGGAATTAGATAACTGTATAGAAAATAAATCAATTGAAGGGCATGGGTGATAGAGTAGGAAGGGATTATTTATTTTGTTGAATTATTTTAATTTAGCGATTCAAGATGCTGCCCCACTTGAAGGGCACTGTGTAAATGCCAGTTGTTGTTATTAATTTGGTATGAGTCAAATGAATAGCAATAGTGTTTTGCTACCTCCTAAACCCCTGTCATCCTACTCGCTTCCTCTGCTCAGCGGACTCCGGCCTACTTCATGTGTCCCACCTCGCTTGCCCCACTTTTGGCAGGTGAGCCTTCCACCACTCTGCCCCCACCCTCTGGAATTCCATCCAGCAGTCCCTCCGCCTTGCCGCCTCCCTTGCAACCTTCAAGACTGTGGAGTCCTGTAGCTCAGTGGTAAGAGCACTTGCCTCACAAGCGAGAGACCTGAGTTCGATTCCCGGCAGGGCGAAAGCTAGGGCAGGTTTCCTTACTCCACACGCCTGATAATAATCCCTCAAGAAAAAAATAATAATTTGGTCACTTCAATCCACGACTGTTTGTGGGACATTGCTGTACGCAATTGACTGCCGCGTTTTTGCCCACAAATATACAGTCAATTCTCTTTACAGTATATTCTGTGAAGCGCTTTGAAACATTGAGAAGACGTGAAAAGCGCTATATCAAATGGAAGGATTATTATTATTATTAAGACCCATCTCAAGACCCTTCTCTTCGACCATGCTTTCTATTTCCCTGCTTCCTGCCCTTCACCCTCCCCAATCACGACCCCCAGCTCGGGTCCAAGACGCTGTGAAAGGCGTTTTACAAATGTAATTTTAATGTTGTACTTTCCTATTTTTCTATCAAAATATCGACTTTGACTCCTGTAACAGTGTTTATTCACACTGTAGTGTAGCACTCCAGTTCTAATCTATAGTTGCTGTCAGCACTGCTGATTTATGAGATATGATCATTATATTTAGTGAGCATAGCACCCAGAAAGGTCACGCAGACTGCACATTGATTCAACAACTCACCAAATGATTAAGAAGCATCTGGAAGCAGGAGTTATTGCAGTACCAGGATATTAGACAATACTCCAGTTGTAATCTAAACGCAAATTATGTAAACACTTGTTTTCAGGTGTTAAACAATTTATTATTGATGCTTCCAATTTTATAATATTTTATAATTAGGCTTCTGGAGGAATTTTAAGATAACATGATTTCCATGAACCTACTTCACAGTTTTTCTGGTTAACTCTGTTTATTAATTTCTTTGTTTAATTTCGTGGGCTGATGAATCCTCCTCAATCTCCTAATTAATGCAATTTATTTTTGTTTTCAGATTCAAGCAACATCTCTGCCGAAGTGTGATGACTATTTACGCATACAGGGATATGATTTCAATGTGGAACATGGGAGACTTGTACTTCGCAGGATTTCTAAACGTAATATAAGACATCAAAGAAAGAGGGTATGAAATACACCAAAGCTTCTGTATCAATAAGGGGCTGATCATCATGGCAATATGATTGATTTCCAACAACTATACCCAATCTTCTCTCTATGGCATACTTTGAGCTCCTAATGTTCTTTCTCACACAGCAATTGGTGAACCCGGAATCCAGGGTGCAAATTGTTTCCAGGGAACGTGTTCCTGATAAACCTATGATGTGGACTGGCCTGGGATTTGCTCGTGTTCCTCATGGAGCAGGACTACAATTCATTGTTAACAACATTCCACATCCCATGAACTTTATAGCTGTCATTCGCTATGAGCCAGAGGTATGTCACTGTACAGAACTTGACATGAGCTCTGACAGAAGATGTTCTAGATCAAGATGTTACAATCTTAGACTTAGTGAGGCAGATTTGAGAGCCAAATGCCTTACTCCAGTTCTTATGTTTCTTTAATATAAACTACAAAGGAAGAAGTCCATTAGTTGCAGGTAACTTTTTTATATATAAGAATAAATATATATATGTAGTGAGATGAAATATTAACACAGTTTCCATGAGATTAGATTTAATCAAGCAACTAAAACACATGTTCTTTTTGCTCATTAATTTCATCCACCACTTTTATGCCCTCTTCCTACTCCTGATCGAATTGTACTAGTACTTCTAATGCCCAACTAGCCATTATTTATGAGTCAATACAGTGACTCCACTAGCATGGTTAGACCACTTGCCTCGCAAGCGAGAGGACCTGAATTTGATTCCCAGCAGGACAAAACGTTGTGCAAGTTTCCTTATTCCACACACCTGTTTTTCCCAGCAGTAAGTAGAAACCCGGCTGTTAGGTGGATTGTTTTTTCAGGGGTAATATTCCCTTTAAAAATTAATTAATTAATATTAATAATTTGGTCACTCAATCCACATCTGTTTGTGGGGCACTCCTGTGAACAATTGGCTGCCGTGTTTCACCCACAAAATATAAGGCGCTATAATATAAAATAATAATAATCCTTGCATTTGATGTAGTGCTTTTCACGTCTTCTCGACATCTCAAAGTGCTTCACAGAATAGAATGTAAAGTGAATTGACCGTATATTTGTGGGCAAAACGCGGCAGCCAATTGCGCACAACAGTGTCCCACAAACTTGGATTGAAAATGACCAATTTATTATTTTTTGTTTTGGAGGGATTATTATTGTTTGATATTAGCTATATCAAATGGAAAGATTATTATTATTCGCAGGCTGTTCATGAGAAAATAACTCAGCTGAGCTCTGTCTTGTCCTGCCACAACTTTGTATACTTATACCTCCAACATGCATCACTGAGAGATTAAGATGATTTTCCCCTTAACTTGCCCAGGTTTTAAGGTCAATTGTAGGTAGGACTGTCGTGCATCCCTGTTGTGATCAGCTGCCTCATCTCAGATGGGGAATTTACCCGAGACCTTCAGGTTTTTATGACTCACTCCCTCACTGAATAACCTTCAAGAGATTATTTATTAGTAGCACAAAAGGAGCCCTTGTTCATGTTTGAGGAGTAGTTGTTTGCTTTGTTGAAGGCAGAATTAATATTGCAATCCATGAATAACTGTAGTAATAGTTTGCATTTCTCTTTTCTCATATAGTCAACAGAAGATTGGACGGCTAGTATTAGAATTCAACCAGTAAATCAGCAAAGGGACAGTCAATGCAGAGATAACCTACTCTCACAGGAACTTTCTACAGTTTCCATGCCAGCCACCACCAGGTCAGAATCTATTACCATGAATGTATTATTCATGATACAGGTCAAAAATGTATGCTGAATTTTGTAGTTTTATTAACTTCTAAAGTGATAAAGTAACTATGACTTTCTTCAACTGAATCTTCTTGCACTATTGCACAAGCGAGGTCACCGCAATAACTATTTAGTCAGTGCATTGCAGACAAGATTGCATGGATATGTAGTTTTACATCATGTTAGCAGGTCTCCATCGAGTGAGTGTCTCATCCCATGCATTGTATGCCATATAAGATCTAGATGCAATATTAAGCAATGGAATGTTTCATGTCCTGTATCAAAGCCCCAAGGAATTAAATAACAACAACAAATTATATGTGTATAGGAACTTTCACATCGGGAGGATGTCACAAGGTGTGGGACAGTCAGGGATTTGGACCTGAGCAGGGGCTTGGGTTCAGCGGGGTGGAGAGCAGGAAGGGTAGGTGTGGGAGGGTGACCAAAGGCATAGACAAAGAGGAGGGTCTTGAGGCATGCCTCAACGGAGGGGGCAAGGCAAAGGGGCTATGGGATGGAGTTCCAAAGGATGGGGGCAGAGAGGCTGAAGGCTCAACCGCCGATGGTGGAGCGGGCCGGGTGGGGGACATGGAGCAGCCTGCTGAGCAGAGGGAGTGGACAGGTCGATATAACATTAGCAGGGCATGAAAGTTTAATTCCAAAACTATATCACCTACTGAACAAACATTATATACTTGCCTGAAATTACACTGCCAGAAACGAGCGGATCAATTTCTACTTGTGAGTGTATTTAGAATCGCAATAGCTATTTACAGAACCATTTGATAACAATCAATATTATAAAAAATCTTGCCCAGAATTTCAGGCATGCCAATCTTGATGTATATAATAAGTCTTGTATCTGTTGGTACTACAAGCCTCAACCTTTTGCAATATATCTCTGCATTGAGGTGTAGCAAAAACTATTGTACTACCACTACCATCCACAAAATCCAGATCATTCAAAACTCTGCCGCCCGCATTCTCACCCGCACCAAACTCCGCTCCCCGATCACCCCAGTCTTTGCCAGACTGCACTGGTTGCCTGTCTCAGAGAGGATTGACTTGAAGATCCTCGCCCTTGTATTCAAATCCCTCCATTCCTCTGCACCCTCTACCTTTCTGACCTCCTCTCTCCTCAAAACAGTACCTGTTGCCTTCGTTCCTCCGGGTCTGGCCTCCTCCTCGTCCCCCGAGTCCTACACTCCACCATCGGCGGACGTGCCTTCAGCCACTATGCCCCGAGGCTCTGGAACTGCCTTCCTCACTCCCTTCACCTCGCTCCCTCTCTTCCTATTTTCAGGTCTCTGCTGAAGACCTTTCTCTTCGACCGTGCCTTTGGTCACCTTCCCTCACCGACCCCTCTTTTCCTCTCTCCCTCCTCCACAATACCCTCTCCTCCACACTCGATACTCTTGCCCCCATCACTTCCCGCACTGTCTCCTACTCCCGCTCCTCCCCCTGGTACACCACCCACCTCCGCTCACTGAAAAGCCAGGTGCGGGCTGCTGAACGCACCTGTGTCAAATCTGGCCTAACGGTCCACCGACAAATCTGGCTGGACCTCCTCAAAATTTACCGCTCCACTCTAGCCTCGGCCAAGTCGTCCTTCTACTCCAGGATAATCCTGGAGGCGAAGAACAACCCCAGGCTACTGTTTTCCACCACAACCCGACTCCTCCGTCCCCCCCGCCACCCCGCGCAGGTCATCTCCTCCAACCTTCACTGCGAGGAGATGCTGGATTTCCTTGAATCCAAGATCAAGGGAATCCGCTCCGCGGTCACTTCCCCTCCAACTTCCACCCACCACCCACCCCTTCCCTCCCACACTCCGACTCCTACCCATCCTCCCCTACACACCTTCGTACCCGTTTCCCCACCCTCTGTCACTGAACTCATCCTATCCCTAAAACCAACCACCTGCTCCCTTGACCCCATCCCCACTCCACTCCTTATCTCCCAGCTCCACTTTCTTGCCCCACATATCACTGACATCATCAACCTGTCCCTCTCCTCTGGCTCTGTCCCCATTCCATTAAAAACTGCCATCATCACGCCCACCCTGAAAAAACCCTCCCTTGATGCGTCGCAGCTATCAAGCTACCGGCCCATCTCCAACCTCCCCTTTCTCTCCAAGGTCTTGGAAAGAGTTGTCGCCTCCCAACTGCGCTCTTTCCTTTCCACCCATTCTCTTTTCGAACCCCTTCAGTCAGGTTTCCGTGCTGCCCATAGCACAGAAACTGCCCTGGTCAAGGTCACCAATGATATCCTGACCATCTGTGACCAGGGCTCCCTCTGTCTCCTCGTCCTCCTCGACCTATCGGCAGCATTCGATACGGTCGACCACGCTATCCTACTCCACCGCTTGTCCTCCCACCTCAACCTTCAAGGCACTGTCCTTGAATGGTTTAGGTCGTACCTTTCTCACCGTCTTCACTTTGTCTCGACGAATGGCTTCTCCTCCACCCCCCGCACTGTCTCATGTGGTGTCCCTCAGGGCTCTGTCCTCGGTCCCCTCCTCTTCACCCTCTATATGCTCCCCCTTGGTGACATCATCCGCAGACATGGAGTTAACTTCCACATGTATGCGGATGACACCCAACTCTACCTTTCCTCCTCTACTCTCAACTCCACGACCACCGATGTCCTGACAGCCTGCCTGTCCGACATCGAGTCCTGGACGAGAGACAACTTTCTTCAGCTCAACGTGCGAAAAACCGAGGCCCTCCTGATTGGCTCACGTCAGCGCCTCCGCACCTCAGGCGCTGACACCATCAGCATCCAAGGCTGCACTCTCCACCTCTCAAAGCCAGTCAGGAACCTCGGCGTTTTGTTCGACCCTGAGCTGTCCTTTCTCCCTCACATCCGCACCACAACTGGCACCGCCTTCCATCACCTCCGGAACATCGCCAGACTACGGCATTACCTCACCCCTCACGCTGCTGAAACCCTGGTTCACGCCTTTGTCACCTCAAGGCTGGACTATGGGAACTCTCTCCTCGCCGGCCTTCCCGCCACCTCCCTCCACAAGCTGCAGGTCATTCAGAACTCTGCAGCTCGTGTACTGTCCCGCACCAGGCTTCGGGACCACATCACTCCCACCCTCGCTCGCCTCCACTGGCTCCCCATCCCCCAGAGGATTGATTTCAAGATCCTCATCCTCACCTACAAGGCCATTCACGGCCTTGCTCCCTCCTACCTCTCCGACCTACTATCCCCCTACCTACCTGCCCGTACCCTCCGTTCCTCTGGCTCCGGTCTGCTCCACGTCCCCCGCCCCAACCGCCCTACCATCGGTGGTCGGGCCTTCAGCCTCTCAGCCCCGAGGCTCTGGAACTCCATCCCCCAGTGCCTTCGCCTTGCTTCCTCCCTTTCCTCCTTCAAGGCCGGTCTCAAAACCTTTCTCTTTGACCGAGCCTTCAGCTCCCCTCTCGACTCTCTTCCCCCTCCTCGCTCCCTCCATTCCCTCCCCTCACTCTGACCATTTCCCCCCTGCTCGGGTCATGACCCAACTGTGCAGCGCCTTGGGACGTCCTCCTGACGTGAAAGGCGCTTTATAAATGGAATCTTGTTGTTGTTGTTGTTCCCCCCACTCCCCCTGGCTCAGCCCCGGGATCCGTTACTGTAAAGCGCTCAGAGACGCTGTCCAGCATGGAGGGCGCTATATAAATCCAAGTTGTTGTTATTGTTGTATCATAAAGAAAGCAATAGTAGATTTCTGATGTACAGCTAGCCGTCCTGAGCCAGCATTATAGCAATGGCTGCAGCTTTCATTTCTTTTGATAAAGTGGGAATCTTGAGGTGGGGACTCATAAGGTAAGAGAAGCCAGTCACAGGAAATTTGAATACTGTTCTACTCTTTGCCCTCAATAATATTATCAAACACTTCTAATTATATATGGCATATACTAAATGCAGAGCAAATTTCTCTACACTCTCCAAAAATATGCCTTCACCCTTTAATAGTAATCCTTGGATTTCCTACGATTTGATATAGTTCCTTATCACGTGTTCGAACCGTCTCAAAGCGCTTCACAGAATATACTGTAAAGTGATTTGACTGGATGTTTTGTGGGCGAAATACGGCAACCAATTGCCCACAGCAATGTCCCACAAACAGTCATGGATTGAGTGACCAAATTATTCTTTATTTATTTTGTTGAAGGGATTATTATCACCAGAAAAGCGATCCGCTAATCGACTAATAACCAGGTTCCTACTTACTGGCAGGTAAACAGAAGCATGTGGATTAAGGAAACTTACCCAACGTTTCGCCCTGCCTGGGAATTGAACCCAGGTCCTCTCACTTGCTCTAACCAGTACATTAAGGATATATTTACTGGATATCAAGAAAGTTGGCCTTGTTCTTTAACAATATGTATCAGCATAACTACATCAAGTGTACAGCAAGAAAGGTAGTCCCTCTCCTTAGTATTAACAGAGTTCCTTAATAATGAATATGATTTGCAAAAAGGGAGGTAACATTACTATAGGCCCTGCTGACTCTTGAAAATTCTGCTCTCATGTTCTCAACTTCTGGAATGGCATTCAATTAAACATCCCAGCAAATTGGACCGCATTGTCTTAATTTGTGCTGAATTACACGTTCTGCTGTAAGTCTAAACCTACGAAAAACTGTATTGAACCTTCTTGCATGGTCCATGGTTCTTCCCCCAGGTCCACTGCTGTCCTGACAGACTGCCTGTCGGACATCAAGTCCTGGATGAGGGCAAATTTCCTACAGTTGAATGTGAACAAGACTGAGGCCCTCCTGATTGGCTCACGCCAGCGCCTCAGCACCTCAGGCTCTGGCAGCATCAACCTCCATGGTTGCACACTACAACTCATCAAGCCAGTCAGGAACCTCGGTGTCTTGTTCAACAACAACAACAACAACAACAGCTTGGATTTATATAGCGCCCTCCACCCAGACGGCGTCTCAGAGCGCTTTACAGTTTAGGATCCCGGGACCGAGCCAGGGTGAGGGGGGGGAAAGGTGACCAAAGGAGCAGTGGAAAAGAAAGGTCTCCAGCAGAGCACATTGTTCAACCCTCAACTGTCTTTTCTTCCCCACATCCAAGTCATGACCCGCTCTGTCTTCCCTCACCTTCGTAACATCGCCCAACTCTGCCATTACCAGACCCCTCAGGCCGCTGAAACTCTTGTTCATGCCTTCATCACCTCCAGGCTCGACTATGCAAACGATCTGCTTGTCGGCCTTCCCAACTCCTCCTTCCACAGGCTGCAGATAATCCAGAACTCTGCAGCCCGTGTCCTCTCCCACACCAAACTCCGTGACCCCATTTCCCCCATTCTCACCCGATTCCATTGGCTCCCTATCCTTCAGAGGATCCAGTTCAAGATCCTGGTCCTCAAATACAAAGCCCTCCGTGGCCTCGCCCCACCCTACCTAACCCCCTACCAATCCACCTGCTCCCTCCGCTCAGCCGGCTCCAGCCTGCTCCACGTCCCTTAACCCACCCGCCCCAGCATTGGCATTAGAGCCTTCAGCCACTCTGCCCCCAACCTCTGGAATTCCATCCCCCAATCTCTCCGCCTCGGCCCCTCCTTAGCCTCTTTCAAGTCCCGCCTCAAAACCCTCCTCTTCGACCATGCCATCGGCTACCCCCCTTCCCCTCCCTTCTCCCTCCCCCCTCGACCCCAGCTCGGGTCTGAAATGCTGTACACTGTCCAGCCTCTTCGGACTTCCTCCCGATATGAAAGGCGCTATACAAATGTAATCTTGTTGTTGTTGTTGCATTGCACAAATCTTAGTGAAGCTCTTCCAATGTAAAAGGCGCTCTATCAGATGTACGGTAGACATTGCTCCAGTGTTCCTCACTATATTGAGTTCCATCACAAACAACTAATTAGCTGTCAATTTAACACACAAGGTCACACAAACGCATTATGATTGTGCCTGATACTTTTATATTAAATCTCTTGGGATACCGTATGGAAACGATGCTCCCAAAAACCGGGGATTGTATCCCGGCACCACTGTTGATTGGTGCTGTTCTCACTGAGCTGTGAATGACCTGTCAAGAAGAATTGTTGTGGACTGAGGTAGCAGCTTGTTGGCATCAGTTACAACAGGGCCATTACACCTTAGTGCTACAGAAACGGTCCCTTCATCCACCAGCCCATCAGGGAGAACAGCAGGCTTTGGAATATCTACTCTTTATTGGAAAATTAAATTGACTAGTAACCTACAACCTACAAAGAACAAAACTGTTGAAACAGGATTGCTTGGTCAAGCCAAACAATGAGTAGCCTTGTTACATAGATTCTAATGTAGTGATTTACAAAATTGTCTTTTGTTTTTGCATACGCAGAGTTGCAATTCCTAACGTTCGTTTTTGTCTGGAGCCTCAAGTGCGTTATTCAGTGGAAATTTACTTTAACCGTTCACCTACTCCAAACAGCCAGCCCAGCAGTCATATCCTGATTGATTCGGTAAGCACCAAGGCTTATGATGTAGAATACATTCAGTTTGTGATGTAATCACCTAGTGAAATTTAATATTGAAGAATTTAAATTCTCATCATATTGATCATAAAAGGGAAAATGCAATGAAAATATTTTTTGCAGGTGCTACTGTACAAATAGAAATGTGTACTTAAAAGAAATGAACATTTAAAAGGCAAAATACTGCAGATGCTGGAAATCTGAAATAAAAACAAAAGTCACTGGAAAACCTCAGCAGATCAGGCAGCATCTATGGAGAGAGGAAAGTGAGTTAACGTTTCAGGTCAATGACCTTTGTTAGAACTGTGCTGACAAAAGCTCATTGGCCTGAAACGTTAACTCACAATCCTCTTCATAGATACTGCCTGACCCACTGAGTGTTCCAGCGCCTTCTGTTTTTATATTAACTTTTAGAAAAAACTGCCTGAGTATTCCTATTTTGATTTAAATTATTTTTTGGCATCAGTATAAATCATATTCATAGTGGAGCAAATAGAGTTGATCTCACTCCAAAAGCACCCCTTTGAAGGTGATTTTAAGGGCATGGCCAAAAGTCAAGCTGATTGATGTCTCTCACAATGGATTTCTACTGCACTTTAAATTCACTCTAATAAGTGCAGCATAGATAGGACACAAGTGCAGCACAATGCAGTTGCAGTTCCTGAATGCTGTCACCAGATGTCGCAACGTTCTTTTTTTCTATATGTTATGATTTGTTTTATACAAAAGATACTTCAGATACCATATTATGTGCACTTTGTGTTTTGGATCATTATACATCATCAGCTGTCCCACTCATTTTACGTTTGCCTCAAGTGATGCTATAAAACATGAAAATAAATTACAGCAAAGGCTATATCAGCTCAAACTCATTAAGTACACTGACACTACATGAACATTAGCATTGGAGTTACAAATTTGATTATACTCAAACGAATAAACCAATTTTATTTGGACTCAAACTGGATTATGTATTAATCTGGTGAAACTCCATTAGTACCGCCAACATCACACTCTTGAATCTCCAAGGCTTGGCTCTCACCAACCTACACCTAACACTCTTTGGAATTGGATAAGCAGGCTGTATCGCTCCAGGGAGGGAAAGCATATTCCATTCCAGATGCAGAAAATTTCCATCTCATTCCATGCGTAGGTTGCATATATATGTGAAACACAGTCTGGTTTGGATTCTTTAAGCATGCTAAAAAAACTGTGACACTGTGACAATACTCTGGGCAGGGCTGTGCCACCACTGGGGGTGGGGCTGCGCCAATACTGTGGGTGGGGCTGTGCCAATACTGTGGGCGGGGTTGTGCCAATACTGTAGGTGGGGCTACTGTGAGAGGAGCAGCTCAGAACACGCTTGCGGAGTGCGGCGCAAACTGGAAATATATATCGCTCCACCCCGAGGCCCCTCTGTTGAGATTACCTATGTGTCTCTCCTTTGTATGTGTATCTGTGTGTGAATGTGTTTGTGTGAGAGTGGCTGTGTGTCTCTCTCTTTGTCTGTATGTCTCTGTGTATCTATGAGAGATCTGGGTTTGATTCCCAGCAGGGCAAAATGTGGGCAAGTTTCCTTACTCCACACGCCTCTATTTACCTAGCAGTATGTAGGAACCTAGTTTTTAGTCAAATGGCGGATCACCTTTCCAGAGGTAATAATTCCTTAAAAAAGATAATAAATTGATCACTTCAATCTACGACTGTTTGTGGGACACTGCTGTGCACAATTTAGCTGCCATGTTTCGCCCACAAAATATAGTCAATTCATTTTACAGTATATTCTGTGAAGCGCTTTGAGACGTCACAAAGACGTGATAAGGCTCTCTATCAAATGCAAGGATTGTTATTATGAACGTGTGCCTCTCTTTGTGTGGGTGTCTGTGAGTGTCTTTCTCTTCTGCGAGTGTGTGTCTCTTAAGTGTGTGTATGTATGTGTGTCTCCTTTCTCTGTCTGTGAGTGTGATTATGTCTCTGTGTCCATGAGTGTGTGTCTCTCTTCGTGTCTCTGTCTGTGAGTGGTGGCAGCCCTGAAAGGCAGGAGGTGGTGACCTTCTGGAGCCCGCAGTTAGGTCACTGGTGAGCAGTGCTGGTGTTTGGGGGATCTCCAGGCCTTCAAATGTAGTGCAGGGTGAAAACAGACCATTTCCCCTTCACTGGTGTCCCATCCCCCCCCCCCCCCGTCTAATTTGTCAATCCAGAACACAGTTTAACTTCAGTAACTCCTTTATTTCAACTATAGATTTCCACTCTCCTCAGCAGTTCCTGTGCCCAGAATCCTTTTATGCTACTTGCTTCTCATGGTCAAGGTCCAATTGTTGATTTAACCTTAAAGCAGCATTCCAATATATTTAGTTTTTTATCAATAAAGTAAAAAAATATAGGTTGGCAGTAAAATGTACCTCTCAACAACACCAATCAACTCCCCACAATTTTCCAGAAATTTTGTTAAATTTGCCCCACAATTGGGCATTTTTCTACCAGGGTTATAGGATTCCACATGTGTCAAAAATCTAGGTGGCCAAAATAAATAATTCTGATGTCAATTCACAAGGCTATGCATGAATCAACCTCCATCTTTGTTTGTTTGTTTGTATGTATGTGTGTGTGTGTGTGTGTGTGTGTGTGTGCGTGCGTGCGTGCGTGCGTGCGTGCGTGCTTGCTTGCTTGCTTGCTTGCTTGTTTGCTTGTTTGTTTGTTTGTTTGTATGTAATAAATATTTTTTCTCTTGTAATTAGCTGGGTCTGATTCCAAGCATCAGATCTTTGGAGAATCTCTGCACTGGAACAGAGCTAGATCAGTACAGACAGTACCAGTGTGTCGAGGTCGCCTCTGAAGCGGGTCCGCAGATTTTGCCAGATGTTTGTGAGAAACTGATAGTCAGTATGTCAGCTCAAATCCACAATGGAGCAATCCGTGAGTACGAGATTAATACTGAAACAGAAGACAGCACTATGGAAACAGTCCAGCCTACAACAACAACAAATTGATTTATGTAGCACCTTTCACGTCGAGCGGCCATCCAAAGCACTGGATTTTCACCCGAGCTGCGGGTTGGATCCTACAATGAAATGGTCAAACTGATATATTTTGACCCTTCTCCACTCTTAGTTTTCACACACTATGTTCTGTACGGTATATTAAAGGCGAGTGAGGCCATTTGGTCTCAAGTCTTTGCTAGTACAGATTTAATAACCAGCTGCTGCCAGACCTGAGTGGCTCTCCCTCAAGTTTTCCTGCCTCTGCTCATATGAAGAAGTTCCCAGTTTGATGTCTTCCCAGTTGGTCTGACAGAATCAGGAACTTACTAGGTGGGGAAAATACACCTTCAACCACACAATAGGCTCAGAGATTGTCTTAGAAGTAGACATCAGAGATCATTGAGACTTGTCATAAGGCATCATATTATCGTTATATTAGCACCAATACACTTGCCGGCTAAAGAGGCGATCCGTCTGATTGGCTTGCTCATGATGTTGAGATGTACAGAATCGGGCCCGAGCTGTCTTTAGATAGTTCGGGCCTAGACGTAGTTTTGAGGAAGTTAAGCTGTGTGGGGGACAATTTACATTCCCGGCTTGTGGAATGCGATTCGGGTTAATTCGGTTTAGTGGGGATGAGTGGGGATAACCCTGGTCACCAAAAGAAAAAAGTATACTTACAGAGAAACATCAACTCACTTTAATATTTTGCATTATTCATCTAACTAAGAGTTCAAAAATTAGAGGCCCAAATTTAAAACTCAGGAATAAAATGACAAATTCAGTTAGTTTGAATGACTCAATTACACAGTCAATAGTGTTTGTAAACAGTGATGTCTTGTTAACTGACTTCCTTACGTATGTCAATATAAGCTAGATGGCAGAATCTTAAAGGGGTTGAAGGAACAGAGAGACCTAGCGGTTCATATAAGTAAATCTTTGAAGGTGGCAGAACAGGTAGATAACAACAACAACAACAACAAGATTCCATTTATAAAGCGCCTTTCACGTCAGGAGGACGTCCCAAGGCGCTGCACAGTTGGGTCATGACCCGAGCAGGGGGGAAATGGTCAGGGTGAGGGGAGGGAAGGGAGGGAGCGAGGAGGGGGAAGAGAGTCGAGAGGGGAGCTCAAGGCACGGTCAAAGAGAAAGGTTTTGAGACCGGCCTTGAAGGAGGAAAGGGAGGAGGCGGCGAAGGCACTGGGGGATGGAGTTCCAGAGCCTAGGGGCTGAGAGGCTGAAGGCCCGACCACCGATGGTAGGGTGGTTGGGGTGGGGGACGTGGAGCAGACAGAGGAACGGAGGGTACGGGCAGGTAGGTAGGGGGATAGTAGGTTGGAGAGGTAGGAGGGAGCAAGGCCGTGAATGGCCTTGTAGGTGAGGATGAGGATCTTGAAATCAATCCTCTGGGGGATGGGGAGCCAGTGGAGGCGAGCGAGGGTGGGAGTGATGTGGTCCCGAAGCCTGGTGCGGGACAGTACACGAGCTGCAGAGTTCTGAATGACCTGCAGCTTGTGGAGGGAGGTGGCGGGAAGGCCGGCGAGGAGAGAGTTCCCATAGTCCAGCCTTGAGGTGACAAAGGCGTGAACCAGGGTTTCAGCAGCGTGAGGGGTGAGGTAATGGCGTAGTCTGGCGATGTTCCGGAGGTGATGGAAGGCGGTGCCAGTTGTGGTGCGGATGTGAGGGAGAAAGGACAGCTCAGGGTCGAACAAAACGCCGAGGTTCCTGACTGGCTTTGAGAGGTGGAGAGTGCAGCCTTGGATGCTGATGGTGTCAGCGCCTGAGGTGCGGAGGCGCTGACGTGAGCCAATCAGGAGGGCCTCGGTTTTTCGCACGTTGAGCTGAAGAAAGTTGTCTCTCGTCCAGGACTCGATGTCGGACAGGCAGGCTGTCAGGACATCGGTGGTCGTGGAGTTGAGAGTAGAGGAGGAAAGGTAGAGTTGGGTGTCATCCGCATACATGTGGAAGTTAACTCCATGTCTGCGGATGATGTCACCAAGGGGGAGCATATAGAGGGTGAAGAGGAGGGGACCAAGGACAGAGCCCTGAGGGACACCACATGAGACAGTGCGGGGGGTGGAGGAGAAGCCATTCGTCGAGACAAAGTGAAGACGGTGAGAAAGGTACGACCTAAACCATTCAAGGACAGTGCCTTGAAGGTTGAGGTGGGAGGACAAGCGGTGGAGTAGGATAGCGTGGTCGACCGTATCGAATGCTGCCGATAGGTCGAGGAGGACGAGGAGACAGAGGGAGCCCTGGTCACAGATGGTCAGGATATCATTGGTGACCTTGACCAGGGCAGTTTCTGTGCTATGGGCAGCACGGAAACCTGACTGAAGGGGTTCGAAAAGAGAATGGGTGGAAAGGAAAGAGCGCAGTTGGGAGGCGACAACTCTTTCCAAGACCTTGGAGAGAAAGGGGAGGTTGGAGATGGGCCGGTAGCTTGATAGCTGCGACGCATCAAGGGAGGGTTTTTTCAGGGTGGGCGTGATGATGGCAGTTTTTAATGGAATGGGGACAGAGCCAGAGGAGAGGGACAGGTTGATGATGTCAGTGATATGTGGGGCAAGAAAGTGGAGCTGGGAGATAAGGAGTGGAGTGGGGATGGGGTCAAGGGAGCAGGTGGTTGGTTTTAGGGATAGGATGAGTTCAGTGACAGAGGGTGGGGAAACGGGTACGAAGGTGTGTAGGGGAGGATGGGTAGGAGTCGGAGTGTGGGAGGGAAGGGGTGGGTGGTGGGTGGAAGTTGGAGGGGAAGTGACCGCGGAGCGGATTCCCTTGATCTTGGATTCAAGGAAATCCAGCATCTCCTCGCAGTGAAGGTTGGAGGAGATGACCTGCGCGGGGTGGCGGGGGGGACGGAGGAGTCGGGTTGTGGTGGAAAACAGTAGCCTGGGGTTGTTCTTCGCCTCCAGGATTATCCTGGAGTAGAAGGACGACTTGGCCGAGGCTAGAGTGGAGCGGTAAATTTTGAGGAGGTCCAGCCAGATTTGTCGGTGGACCGTTAGGCCAGATTTGACACAGGTGCGTTCAGCAGCCCGCACCTGGCTTTTCAGTGAGCGGAGGTGGGTGGTGTACCAGGGGGAGGAGCGGGAGTAGGAGACAGTGCGGGAAGTGATGGGGGCAAGAGTATCGAGCTGTTAAAAAAGCATACGGGATACTAGGCTTTATAAATAGGGGCATAGAATACAAAAGTCAGGAAGTTATGATGAACCTTTATAAAAGGTTCCAGGATTAGGCCTCAGCTACAGACTGTGTTCAGTTCTGGGCACCACACTTTAGGAAGGATGTCAAGGCATTGGAGAGGGTGCAAACGAGATTTACCAGGATGGTACGAGGAATGAGGGACTTCAGTTATCAGGAGAGGCCAGAGAAGCTCGGATTATTCTCCTTGGAGCAGAGAAGGTCAAGAGGAGTCTTAATAGAAGTTTTCAAAATTATGAGGGGATTCGATAGGGTGACCAAGGAGAAACTATTTCCACTGGCGGGTGGGTCGGTAACCCAAGGACACCGATTTAAAATAGTTGTTAAAAGAAACAGAGGGGAGGTGAGGAGAAACTGGATCTGGAATGCATTGCCTGGAAGGGTGGTAGAAGCCGATTTGATAACAGCTTTTAAGAGAGAAGTAGACAATTATTTGGGGAGGACAAGATTGCAGGGCTATGGGGAGAGAGTGGGGAAGTGAGATTGATTTGGATAGCTCTTTTCAAAGAGCCAGCACAGACACGATGGGCCGAATGGCCTCCTTCTGTGCTGTATAATTCTATGATTCTATGTTCCATGAAAATACAGTTTGCTCTGAGGGTTGATGCAGAGAGGGGATAAATGGCCACCACTTGCACTGTAAATGTTTATGATTCTATAATTCTAGCCTGCAACTGCAACCCGCAGGGCTCTGCCAGTCCCGTCTGCAGCAGGTTCGGTGGTCAATGCCAGTGCAAGCCTGGTGTGATCGGGCGATGCTGTGACACCTGTGTACCAGGATCGTACGGATTTGGCTCCAATGGCTGTTCATGTAAGTCACTCACTGTTAGAATAATAATAATAATCCTTGCATTTGAAAGAGTGCTTTTCACGTCTTCTAGACGTCTCAAAGCACTTCACAGAATATGCTGTAAAATGAATTGACTGTATATATTGTGGGCCAAATGTGGCAGCCAATTGCGCACAGCAGTGTTCACAAACAGCCGTGGATTGAAGTGACAAATTTTATTTTTTTTGTTCTTTTTCTTGAGGCATTATTGTCAGGTGTGTGGAGTAAGGAAACTTGCCCAATGTTTCTTGCTTGCGAGGCAAGTGCTTTAACTACTGAGCTACAGGACTCCTATGATAATTGAATGGAGCAAGTAACAAGTATTTAATACAATACTTGAATGGAACATGTATTTTTTCCCCTATTTTAATTTTATTAAAATAAAATGCATGGAGTTTTTTTATATGAAAAAAATTACTTTAATTACAAGAGCACTGTTCTTGTGGAAAGGTGTTTGGCAAATGACCATCCAGTTGTTGAAGATAAAGACAGCGTTGATGGGAACTGCATTCAAATTCATCATTGCCTCACTTGCACATGGCGTTTCCTGAAGGTGACACATGATATTCTTCTCTTTCCTAAAAAAAATTTCATCAAGACAACAACAAATTACATTTATATAGCCCTTTCATGTTCACGTTTCAAGGTGCTGGACAAATATGGATTGTTTGTGGGACACTGCTGTGCACAATTGGCTGTCGTGTTTTACCCACAAAATATACAGTCAATTCACTTTACAATATATTCTATGAAGCGCTTTGAGAGATCTCGAAGACGTAATAAGGCACGATATCAAATGAAAGCATTATTATATACTATATTATACATATATTTAGACCTGAGCTGGGGTTGTGATCAGGAGAGTTACCTCTTGGAGCTTTTTATCTTGTTGCTGCATCCAAGGGGAGAGAGTCACTTGCCAGTTGTATTGTATCGTAATCATGATTGTCTGAAAAAGGAACTAAGCTTATCACTGCAGTCCAATCCCTGTGATATGGCAAAACTACTCAATATTGCTTAAAGATTCCATGTGTTTGAATTGAGCTCATTATCTCTTGCCTAAAATTGCCTAAAATATACGGTATTATTTGGGGTTTGATAATTTCAACTAAAAGAAAAGATAATGGCTCCAAAATAGATTTTTGTCTCTTATGGCCACAATCTTCAGAGCAAGGATTGATTTGGCACATCATTTAAGACAACACACTTCTTTATTGCTCTTGAAAGCATCAGATGTTGAGTAGAAATCGATATTGAGTCCTATACCTCTAGGGAACGATTGTGGTCAGAGCCTTTTGAATTAAGCAGCAGCTTAGTTCTGTGATCTTTGACATGTCAGTTCAACCAGAGTAGTGTGGCATCAGTTTCCAAATGACATAATTCAGAATGTGGAAGAGCAAAGCGAGAGAAGGAAATCAGTATCGTACATAGAGTGTGCAGCCACCTCTTCAATAAGTGACATGCTTTCATTCACTTCAGTTAGATATGAGCACAACTTGTTTACTTTTCCCTTCTAGCCTGTGTCTGTAACCGTCAGGGAGCCTTAGATTCGATCTGCAATCAGCTGACAGGACAGTGTGATTGTCGTAGAGATGTCGTCGGTCGTGCCTGTGAGCAGTGTCGTCCTGGATATTACGGATTCCCCAGCTGTCGGTCATGTTGGTGTAATGGCTATTCCGAGCTGTGTGACTCTCAGACAGGAGTGTGTCAGAGCTGCCAAGCATTTACAACTGGATCTTACTGTGAGCGGTACGAAGCTGTAACAATTAATCTGCTTGATGTTTTGAAAATGATTAATAAAATACAGTAGATCATAGCCAGCAGGATTAATGTCCACTGTAGCTCATTATTTTGCTTTGGTTAGTGATCACATAGACTTGGATTTTAATCCTGCATTTCATCGTTACAGGTGTATTGATGGTTACTACGGTAACCCAGCTTTAAATGAACCCTGCCATCAATGTCAGTGTCCTGACGTTCCAAATAGTGGACAATATTTTGCTCATTCTTGTTATGAGGACCCCAGGACTCTACAGCTAGTTTGCAACTGCATTGAAGGCTATGCAGGTGGGAAAATCAGTCAATATGTGTTGCACCTAACAATGGTTGATATTATGACAGTAGTTAAGCTACTGTCAAAGCCATTTTTATAAGCGACGAAGAAGGCTGACATGGAAGATACGTGCAACACATTGCTTATGATCACTGGCTCACTAGCAGCTCTGGCTGACAGTCAGGCCCACAGACTTAGAGAGCTCCAACTTGAGGTTTACTGAAGCTTTTGTCAGCTGCTGTGCATAGCAGGATGGCTTGCTGAATCTGTTACCGCATTTACATAAAATTGTCTTATCCTGCGTTAATTGTACCTCCTTTGAGAAAAGAGACTTTCATTCCATCTTTTCAATTTGAGTAAATCCCAACTTTATTAATTTTGACCAGATGAAAAACTCTGTAGGAACAATATCAAGAACTGTGTATTAAAAATTCATCAAAGCACCAATGAATATCTTTACAATTGTAGCTTGACTTTTTTAAATGGTTCAAATATAGAACTGAAATATTTAATGACTTTCATCTTCTTCTCTTCAGGAATTCACTGTGACCAATGTCTCCCTGGATTTTATGGCACACCCACACGCCATGGAGATCAGTGTTTGCAGTGCAGCTGTAACGATAACATAGATGAAAGAGATCCTGAGGCCTGCAACCCTCAGACAGGAGAGTGTGTGAAATGCCTGTATAATACCTATGGACCAAACTGCCAGTTCTGTAAACCTGGGTACTATGGATCCGCTATCAACAAGGATTGTAGAGGTAAGAATGCAGAGGAGGTAACCCTTCAATTCAGCTGAACCACACTGTCACATCTGCTCCAAGTTGCACCCTAATATGTTTTAAAGGTAACTTCTGATCGAATTGAACTGACATTGAACTGAATGTCAGAAGGCTGTTCCATATAACTGTCACAAGTAGCCACTGTCAGAATTAGTGCAGTGAGAGCAGCAAAGTGTTAACGCAAGGGTTTGAACTATTAATTTCTCAGATGCAAGCAGGGATAGGAATTACCTTTTCACTTGTTAATCAGTGAATTTATTTACTCATCAGACTTGGTAATCTGCTCAAGTCACCAGACTCATCCTTGTTCTATAGATAGACGCAATAGATTGAGCTTTTTTTTCACTAGAGAAAGGATACTTAAGGGGGAACCTAATAGAAGTGCTTAAAATTATAAAATGCTTTGATAAGGTTAACTTAAGTAGACTCCACTGGTTGGGAAGTCATTAACCAAGAGACACATATATAATACAGCGACAGGGGTCGAAAAAAACGAATTTAGAAGGAACTACGTCAAGCAGAGGGTAGCGAGATTGTGGAACTCACTGTCTGAAGCAGTGGTTGAATCGGATCATATATCTGTTTTATAATTCATTCAAAAAAAATTGGTCACTTCAATCCACGACTGTCTGTGGGTCACTGCTTTGCGCAATTGGCTACTGCGTTTTGCCCACAAAATATGCAGTCACTTTACTTTACAGTATATTCTGTGAAGCGCTTTGAGACGTCTCGAAGACATGGTAAAGTGCTATATCAAATGCAAGGATTATTATTATTATAGATGCATTCAAGAGGAAGCTAGATCTTCACATGAGGAAGAGAGGAATAAAAGAGTATGGGAGTGAGTAAAGGAATGGGTGGAAACTCATGTGTGTAAACATGGGCATGGACTGGTTGGACTGAGTGGCCTATTTCTATGGTGTACATTCTTTGTAAATCTTGTTGCTTTTCAAACCAATACCGATCTGTACATGTGGAGATCATTTTAGGTCACTTCAAAGATCTATATAACGTAAATGGACTTCTAAGATTTGAATTTAGTGATCCACTTAATGTCTTAGTCATGAGGAGAGACTAACTGTGAGTGCAGTTAAATGTTCTAGAGAAACGTGTCCATCACTTTAATACTGTCTAGTCGAGTTTGAAACAACAACATCAAACAACTAGAGGGCTGTACAGTATTTCCAAACCTTTTGGTCGAATGACATATTAATCATGACTAATAAACAAAAAACATTGTTTCAGAATGTACTTGCTACGCATTTGGAGTTGAAAGGGAGCACTGTCTACCTGACGGTTTATGCATGTGCAACCAAGTGACAGGCCAGTGTCCATGCTTACCTTATGTCTTTGGAAACTACTGTGAACAATGTGCACCGAATTTCTGGAACCTGGGCAGTGGAAGAGGATGTCAGCCATGTTATTGTGACTCTAGGAATTCCATCAACACCCAGTGTGATCAGGCAAGATAGAATTACAATTCATCATAGAAATCTTTACATAGACCATTATTATTATATTATATTATGTAAATCAATCTAAAAGAAAAAAAGAAACTTTGATCAAGGGTAATTAATTTTAAGATGGCACAAGTGTTCAGAAAATAAGAAATTTACCCCAGCAGGGTAAATTGCTCTTTAATTTTTTTCAGTGGTATATATACTTAGTTTTAGGAGCTACTTAACTGTAGTGTGAGATACTGTGATTTACTTTCTTGTTATAAACCAAGTTACATGTATGGTTGTAGATTACTGGACAATGTCAATGCAAAGATGGCTATGGGGGAAAAACATGCTCCGAATGTCAGGACAACTTCTATGGAAACCCAAGGGGACAGTGCATTCGTGAGTATCTGATTCTGCCACAATATTCATTCACGGGCAGTTCAGTGGATTCTAGAAGCTGCAAAAACTCAACTAATGGAAAATATTGAAGCAAACTGTGCAACACAATTAATAACTTTTTTTTAGTTCTCATCCAATGACATGGTAGGTAAAGATACATAGGTGAACATCAGGAAATTGCAGGTTTGATGCCCAGTTTTAACTGAGTTCATGATCTAAGATGAGCAGATATTGAGGCAATAAAATTGGATGAGTACTAGTATTGACCTCTGCTGGAAAGTGAACTTTATGGTCATTGAACAAGCACAGGATCTGTCTCAATTGCTTCCAAAGTCAAATTGCCTTGTGATATTCACTTTCAAGGCTCTTACTCAAAGAATGATTATTTGGGCTCGGTACCAATGCACTGCCTACACCTGTGAAATCATACACCAGGAATCAATAAGTAGTTGTACATAACATAAGATTGGTAAAAAAAAACAGAAGTCGCTGGGATCACTCAGCAGGTCAGGCAGCATCTATGGAGAAAGGAAAATGAGTTAACATTTCGGGTCCGGGACCCTTTGTCAGAACTGGGGCATGTTGGGAGGGAGAGGCTTTTAAGGGCTAACAGAGAGGGAGGAGGCAGGACAAGGAGGACAAACAACAACAATAACACAATTTCATTTATAGAGCGCCTTTCACGTCGGGAGGACGTCCCCAAGGCGCTGGACAGTTGGGTCAGGACCCGAGCAGGGGGCAAATGGTCAGGGTGAGCGGAGGGAAGGGAGGGAGCGAGGAGGGGGGTAGAGAGTCGAGAGGGGAGCTGAAGGCATGGTCGAAGAGAAAGGTCTTGAGACTGGCCTTGAAGGAGGAAAGGGAGGAGGCAAGGCGAAGGCACTGGGGGATGGAGTTCCAGAGCCTAGGGGCTGAGAGGCTGAAGGCCCGGCCACCGATGGTAGGGCGGTTGGGGCGGGGGATGTGGAGCAGACCGGAGCCAGAGGAACGGAGGGTACGGGCAGGTACGTAGGGGGATAGTAGGTCGGAGAGGTAGGAGGGAGCAAGACCGTGAATGGCCTTGTAGGTGAGGATGAGGATCTTGAATTCGATCCTCTGCGGGATGGGGACAAAGGAGAAAACGGGATAGAGGACAGAGCATGATGGGTTAAAGCGGTGTTAATAATGCAAAACAAAGACGGGGCAGAGGTGGGGGGGTTGTAAATTGCAACAAAATAGGCAGGTCAGGGAGAGAAAAGGTGTGCCTGGGTCCCTGATGATGTGGTAATGATCACAGAAGAGGGGGAGGGGGAAGGTGAGCTGTTATGGTCTGAAATTGTTGAAGTTAATACTGAGGGCAGAGGGCTGTAAGGTCCCTAGCAGAAAAATGAGGTGCTGTTCCTCGAGCTTGCGCTGTGGGTCATTGGAACAGGGTAGGAGCCCGTGGTCAGAGTGTGAGTGGGAGGGAGAATTGAAGTGGCAAGAAACCGGAAGCTCAGGGTTGTGCTTGTGGACAGAATGAAGGTGTCCGGCAAATCGGTCACCCAATCTGAGTTTTGTCTTCCTAGTGTAGAGGACACAACATCGTGAGCAGTGAATGCAGTAAATTACATTGGTGGTAGTACATGTAAATCGCTGTCTCACTAGAAAACTGTGTTTGGGGCCCTGGACAGTGGTATGGGAGGAGGTGAAAGGGCAGGTATTGCATCTCCTGTGCTGGCATGGGAAGGTGCCGGGGGGACGAGAGCAATTGTTGGTGGTGATGGAGGAATGAACCAGGGAGTCACAGAGGGAACAGTCCCTTCGGAATGCTGAGGGGGGAGAGAAAGGTATGTTTAGTGGTTGGAAATACTGCAAAACAAAGGCAGGGGCAGGGGAAATACTGAAACAAAACAGGCAGACCAGAGAGAAAAGGTGTGTCTGGCACCAAGATAATATGGTAATGGTCACAGAAGAGGGGGAGGAGGAATGTGAGATGTTATGATCTAAAATTGTTGAAATCAATATTGAGACCAGAGGGCTGTAAGGTGCTGTTCCTCGAGCTTGCGCTGTGGTTCATCGGAACAGCGTAGGAAACCATGGATGGAGAGGTCAGAGATTTGTAGTTGCTTCGCCCCTGAAAATTAATAAAGGTTCATCCATACTGTTGTGTTCAAAAAACTTATTCAAGTCAGTTTCATTCAATGAGCACTTACTATTTCAGCATGTTTATTCAGAAAATTCTATAGAAACAGGCTCTTACTCCAAAAGGATATCCAAGCTAATCATAGTTCTTTGTACTTTTTTTAAGGACTTTTGATGGTAACATTTCAACAATTAGATGTAATGGAGACATAGGGGATGATCAGACAGGACTTTGATTAGCCGATGACTCAAGCTGCTGTACATTGTAACTTAGAGTGTACTTCTGAACACAAAGAATTCATTACCGCAGGTTGGGAAATATCCATAAAACATGATTTTAAAAAATACACAGTTTAGTTTGGATTACAATCTCTGAAATGCCATCATCTGGTAACACTGAGGGTACAAACAATAATAACAACAACAATTTGCATTCATATAGTGCCTTTTTCCTAAAGTGCTTGATGCTGCCCTGTGTATAAGCATTCATCACCATGATGGAAAAAAAATGTTATTTTGCTTGGTGGAAGGTGAAGTCAAACATGGAAACTTCCTTCCACACTGAATGGTGCTATTACCAACTGTGCCATCAAAAGAATTTATTTAGTTCAGCTTCTTGTCAATAAGAATCGTGAAATGGTAGCATATTGTTTCAATAACACTGAGCTGATAAAAAAAACTATGTGAACCATTTGCCATGCAAACATTTTAAAATTCTTTTTTTTAATGTTTTTTTGGTAGCTTGCAACTGCAGTTATGAAGGAACGGAAAGACCCATGTGTAACAAGATCACAGGTGCCTGTACCTGCCGAACAGGTGTAACAGGGCAGCACTGTAACAAATGTGACTGGGGTTACTGCAAGGAGTTCCCGACTTGCACCAAATGCCACCCTTGCTTCGAACCACTGGATAAAGAAATCTGCATACTTATTCCTGGAATGGAAAGGCTGGCCAACAAAACATACAGTGTTACTGATGGGAAATTAGCTTCTTCAATTGATGAACGGTTGAAAAGGCTTGAAGAAAACACTTCTGAAGTTGACAAAATAATAAATGGCTCAGTTACTTCCCTTGATACATTTGAAAGGACAAAGGATTATTTTGAACAAATAAGGTAACATTCACTGTGATCATTCATTATAGTGCTAAGTAGTTTGAAGTTTGTAAGTATATATATTTACACTTTGTGTATGCAATTGTCATTTTTTTAATATTTACTGCATTGTTAATTTCAATGGGAAAGAAAAATGAGGTCTGCAGAGATTAACTTGCTCTGATTAGAAAAAAGATTCAGAGGATTCAGGTCATTAAAACTATGAAAGTCAAAGATGTAAAGAACTATGTATTTGTCTTAGATCATAAGAGCAAGCATAGGTTTAAAATGAGTAGGAATAGAAATCAACAGATGTATACTCCACATAGATCAGTGAATATATTGAATAGACACCCAACAAAAGTAAAAGCTGCTTTTTCCATTCATGTGTTTCAACACTGGCTAAGTATATACTTGGGAATAGTATTAGAGGAAATAAGGATAGGTGTCACTGAACAAATAATCCACAATACACAAAGTTTATGTGGTGCTGGGGCCCAGTATAAAATGAAAGGGAAGAAGAGAATATTGCTTTTGGAGATCAGACTTGGAGGCCAGGGTAGAGGTGGAGCAGCTGCAAAATGAAAAAAACATGACGAATTCTGATTGACTGTTTCCATATGGAATTCGCATTCCCCAGTGACTGTTGCAATCACTGTTCCAATTATTAACAAAATCTGAAAGATCAGGGCAAAAGATCCACATTCTTGACCTCACTATCTCCTCTGATCTCAAATGGAATGTTCACATTTCCTCTAATGTTAAAGCTGCCTCCAAGAAGCTTTCCTTTTTTGTGCCAAACATTTCTTCTCCCCTCACCATTGTGAACCAAGATTGTTCAAGTCTGGAAAACTGGTCCCATATTTATGGAAGTTCTTTTAGCATTTCTAACATTCCATGATAGAATAAAAGACACAATTTGTTTGATAAATGATTATCTATCTTCCACTCTGTTTTTCTATTTTTTTACACTATTATATCTATTAATCTTTTGAGTTTCTCCACTTTATCCCTATCATACTCCCAATATACTGTCTGTCATACCTTCTCTTTGAATACTCATTATATTGAAATCGAAACTCATCACATTTCCTGCTCCAGCACATTCTTTCAAAAGACTTCAAGATCGTGGAACTTCTTGCCTCCCTCAATCATACCTTCCACCTATACTCTACAGTTGTTAAAAAATAAAGTTGGGCATCACCTAAGTAGCTTATTACTTGTTGACTTGTTTCTTTTTAATGTTTGATTTGATTTTTAATATTTGATCTAGGTTTCTAAATTTAAAGAAAAGAGTAAAGACATATTTTACCTGTGTAGTTTTGTCAAACCATAGATCAAATGCAATAATTATTATTATTATTTTTTATTATTCTTTTTCACCAATAGCTACTCTGATATAACGAACAAAGGTGTGATAGGTTGAATTCAAGTTCAGAAAATGCTTTAAATGACTTGTACATATATCCAACAACAAGACATTGTTTCCTTTATTAATACTGAAGTAATCCTGTCAATGACAGTGCCTTTTGTGAGGTGTTGAAAGTAAACAGCATAAAGTTATACTGTCAACTCATACCTCTTGGGTAGGGGCTCAAGTTAAAGGTAATTTAGAGTTTTCATACAAGCATCGCGCATTAATGATTCATATGCACTCTGTCCTGAATTTCTACTTATCCAACATTAGCTACGCAGCAGCACCGGCACAAAAAACACCTATCCCTCAGACTTAACGAACCAGTGAGCAACCTAGGAGTCAGGTTCAACCCACTGCTGTCCTTCCTTCCCCACATCCGGTTCCTGACAAGGAACACCTTCCTCCACCTCCACCACATTTCCTGCCCCAGACTATACCATACCCCAGACGCAGCTGAAACACTCATCCATGCGTTCATCACCTCCCTACTTGACTTCTCAAATGCTCTCTTTGCCAGTCTCCAAGACTCCACCATGCACAGGATCCAGCTGATTCAAAACTCCGCCACCCACATACTAACCCATTCTAAATTCCGTATCTTCATCACACCAGTTCTAGCCAAGCTCCACTGGCTCCTCATCACCGATATCAAGACCTTCACACTTGTTTTTGAAGTCACTTTATGCCCTGGCACCTCCCTACCTCTCTGACCTGCTTACCCCCCAACCCACAACCCGTTGCCTCCGCTCGACTGGCCTCCTGCGTGTCCCCCATGCCCTCTGTTCCACCTTCGGTGGTTGCCCTTTCAGCCATTATGCCCTGACACTCTGGAACACTTCCTCCATCCTTGCCTCTTCCTTCGCCATTTTCAGGTTGTGCTTGAAGAGCTTCCTATTCGACTGTGCTTACGGTCACCTCCCCCTCATCCCAGCTCGGAGTGGTGCTCCGCCACTGTCAAGTGCTCTGGAATGCTACCCTGCGTGAGGGGTGTTATATAAATGCAAGTTGTTGTATTTGACTGCCAGTAGTATTTTCAAGATTAGAAATGAATGAGCAGTGTTATACTGAATGTGTATATTTAGTGAGGTGTTCAAGATAACACATTAATAACACTGTTGTAGCAAAACTACAGGATTGTCTTCTGTGGTACTCATGAGAATGCATTTAAAACTTATTTTTTTTAGCACAATGAAAATGCAGGTCCAACCAAATCTGAATCTTACGAATGACACCAAAGCACTGAACAGAGTCATTAATGACCTCAACCATGAAGTTAACAAACTTACGAAGAACATAAGTGTCATCAAAAAGTATCATGAAATGACAGCCAGTGCAAATATTCAGGGTATGTGTAAAAGGAGAACCGATAAACCAAGATTAATATGATGCATATGAATGTATGATAATTATCGTTGGTTTAATTCTCCGCCCCAGCTCTGTACTCCTTATTGCCTCTGTCAAATGTTTCAAAACTATGCGTACCGTCAATATAAATGTTTTTGTTGTATGCCTTATGTCATCCCATGTCGCCCTATACTAAAATAACCTATTTTAGGACGAGCAATTTACAGTTGAAACAGAAATTTAAGAGTATTCAACATAAATGAACTCATCACTCCAGATTCTCATCAACTTACCATCACTATCTAGAGGCAGACATCGACAAAATTGGACAGAAAGGCAAATAATGAAACACTGGATGCTCTTTTCATCAGTAGAGTTGCTTTCATGAGAACTCCTCATGTATATATTCACCCCCAATTGTTCTTCCCCTCCAATTTTCTCCCTCTGCTCAAGTGCTGACCAACAATTCTCCAAATAAAATTGGTCAATTACTTCTTGGTTGTTTGTGGACAAATCAACTACCATGGTCACCTGCAAAAATATACAGTACACAGTGAAGTGCTTTGAGACATTTCAATGATATGAATAGGCATTATATCAAATGCAAGGATTATCATTGTAAATTATATCTAATATTTGGATTATAGCTAGTCAGAGGATAAGGAAAATAATTGTTTTACTTTTGTTGACAGGTGTATCTGACAGTATCAATAAATATTACCAAAATTCTAAAGCCTCTCAGGAGAAAGTAGATGGATCAAAAAGCGTGAATGATTCAAAATCTACACAAGAAACGACAGCTTCCTTGTTCGACAAAGTCCTGCTAAATGGCAGTAATAAAATTAATGAACTAAAGAAAAAGGTTGATCTTTTAGATCTGAGTTTAGTAAATAATAAGGTGAGTCCTGAAATTCAATAAGCTAAAATAGTTTTAATGTGGGTTATTTGACAAATACATTAGAATGAATATCATTCAGATCTATAATACAATGTGCATTGTGGATAAGTGCAAATGTAAGAAGTGTTTATTTTTAACTTAGAATGTGAAATTAAACATAGAAAACAAAAAATTGAACTTAACAAGCATCAAACATGTTTCCCCATGGAGAGTTGGAATGAATGCTCAGCAAAACAGTTGATTAATATGACTTTTTTAAAAATCTGTTCAAGGTTTATAACAATAGACATTTCCTTGCTGCAGAGAATGTCATCATTGGAATGCAGCCAATCAATTACCTTCAGGGATTTGGGAAATTCTAGTTTAGTTTACATATTTAAGTACTGATACTCAGGAGTAATACCATGCTTAACTGGAATAGACTGAATTTGTCTTATTCTCTTCAATGACCTGTCAGTCTAACAACGTAAATATTAAGTATTATACAATTAAATTATTTTCAATCACCTCTGTTGTAAATTCCTTTTTATATTCTCTTTTCTGTTGGGCTTATGCAGATTTGCGGAGTGCAAAGCAATTTGCCATGCCACAAAGACCTGTGTGGAGGAGCTTTATGTCGTGATGACTATGGAAACAGAAGATGTGGTGGCCCGTACTGCAATGGGGCTCTAACAGTGTCAAAAGATGCAAAAATCAAAGCTGAAGAAACAGATGATCAAATGAATAATCTCTTAAAACAATTGCAAGATACAATCAACCAGGTATTATTAACCACATAAGCCGTTTACACTGACATCCTGTGTTGCAGAAACATCCTGCATAACTCAAACACAATTGAAGCCAAGTAGTATCAAGTGGACATGGTACTAAAAAAGAAAATGAATCAGGGAACAGAGTTCTTGTCACTATTCACCCACAATGACCACTAGAATGTCAGGCTGTGATTCCCGTTCAAAATGTAACTTGTCTCCTCCATCAGCTTCATATGTTTGCTCCTCACAAAGATAACAGGTGGAAAAATTGAAAATGAATAAATAGCCTGTCTGTCATTTCAGAAACTGAGCGTTTGTTGTAACTATGATCTAAGACTAAATCCTGCCCAATATTGGATCAGGTTAAATAAACACAAACATGCATTCTATTTTTTCATGAGACACCCAACCTAATTATTTCTGTTTAAATTATTATTTTATGCACTTGCTCCTCCAAGCTTCAAATACATTATAATAATACTAATAATAATCCTTGCATTTGATATAGCGCTTATCACGTCTTCAAGACGTCTCAAAGCGCTTCACAGAATATACTGCAAAGTGAATTGACTATATTTTGTAGGTGAAAGTCAGCAGCCAATTGCACACAGCAGTGTCCCACAAACAGTCTTGGATTGAATGACCAAATTATTAATTATTACATTTTTTGAAGGAATTATTATTCCCGGAAAAGCGATCCACCAATCGACTAACAACTGGGTTCCTAATTACTGCTGGGTAAACAGAGGCATGTGGAGTAAGGAAACTTGCCCAACATTTCGCCCTGCTGGGAATCACTTGCTAGACGAATGCTGTGTCCAATTGTCAAACATGGACTTCCCTTTCCCTGCATTTAAATCAAAATGCATCACATTCCTACTCTAACTCTAAGTCATTCTGTATTAGCACATCAAGATTGTCAATTTCCTGACCGCAGTCTTCCTTTCCTCATTAATATACAGGATTTTCAATCACACATTTTACCATTTCTTCTTCACTTTCTTATGATCTTGGCCAATAGAAAAGTGAGACCGCAATATTTACACGGAATCCACTACAAACGACCCATGGCGTCACAAACCTATAAAACCCAGTGTACTCAGGCTCCCGGGACTGTAAGTGTCTCCTCTGTATATTTCTGTGTGAGAGTGTCTATGTGTCTCTCTCCTCTGTATGTCTCTGTGTGAGTGTGTCTGTGAGTGTGTCTCTCCTCTATATCTCTGTGTGTGTGTCTGTGTGTGACTCTCGCCTGTGTATGTTTCTGTGTGAGTGTGTCTGTGAGTATGTGTCTCTCTCATCTGTATGTCTCTGTATGAGTGTCTGTGTGTCTCTCTTTTCTCTGTATGTCTCTGTGTGAGAGTGACTGTGTTTCTCCGTCTTCTTTGTATGTCTAGGTGAGTGTGTCTCTCTCCCCTCTGTATGTCTCTGTGTGTGTCTCTGTGTGTCTCTCTCTCCTCTGTTTGTCTCTGTGTGAGTGTATCTGTGTCTCCCTCTCTTCAGTATGTCTCTATGTTAATGTGTCTGTGTCTCTCTCTCCTCTGTATGTCTCTGTGTAAGTGTATCTGTGTGTGTCCTCTCCTCTGTATTGGTGGCCCTCTGTGTATGTGAGTATCTGTGTCTTTGTTTCTCTCTTTCTCCTCTTAATGTCTCTGTGTGAATGTGTCTGTGCGTCTTTCTCCTCTGTATGTCTCTGCGTGAGTGTGCCTGTGTGTTTCTCTCTTCTCTGTATGTCCCCGTGTGGGTGTGTCTGTGTGTCTCTCTCTCCTCTGTATGTCTATATGAGTGTGTGTCTCTCTCCTCTGTATGTCTCTGTGTGAGTGTGTCTGTGTGTTGCTCTCTCCTCTGTATTTCCCCGTGTGAGTGTGCTTGTGTGTGTCTCTCTCTCCTCTGTATGTCACTGTTTGATTGTGTCTGTGTGTCTCTATGTCTTTTGTATGTCTCTGTGTGGGTCTGTATGTGTGTGTCTCTCTCATCTGTATGTCTCTGCTTGAGGGTGTCTGGGTGTCTATTTTGCTTCTGTATGTCTCTGTGAGTAGTCTCTCCTCTGTATGTCTCTGCATGAGTGTGTCTGCGTGTCTATCTTTACTCTGTATGTCTCTGTGTGACTGTGTGTCTCCCTCTCCTCTGTATCTCCATGTGAGTGTGTCTCTCTCTGTATGTCTCTATGTGTCTGTGTGTCTCTCTCTTCTCTGTATGTCTCTGTGTGAGTGTGTCTGTATGTGTCTCTCTCCTCTGTATGTGTGGCTCTCTGTGTCTGTGAGTATCTGTGTATCTGTGTGTCAATCTCGCTTCTGTATGTCTCTGTGAGGGTATTTCCCTCTCCTGTGTATGTCTCTGTGTGAGTGTGTCTGTGAGTATGTATCTCTCTCCTCTGTATGTCTCTGAAAGAGTGTGTCTGTGTGTCTCTCTTTTCTCTGTATGTCTCTGTGTGAGAGTGACTGTGGGTTTCTCCCTCTCCTCTGTACGTCTATGTGAGTGTGTCTCTTTCTCCTCTATATGTGTCTGTGTATCTCTCTTCTGTAAGTTTCTGTGAGTGTGTATGTGTGTCTCTCTCTCCTCCATATGTCTGTGTGAGTGTATGTGTGTGTCTCCCTCTCTGTGTGCATGTGTCTGTGTTTCTCTCGCCTCTGTATGTCTCTGTGAGTGTGTTTCTCTCTCCTCTGTATGTCTCTGTGTGAGTGTCTGTATGTGTCTCTCTCCTCTGTATGTGTGGCTCTCTGTGTCTGTGAGTATCTGTGTATCTGTGTGTCAATCTCGCTTCTGTGTGTCTCTGTGAGTGTGCCTCTCTCTCTGTATGTTTCTGCATGAGTGTGTCTTTGTGTCTGTCTTTTCTCTGTATGTCTCAGTGTGAGTGTGACTGTGTGTCTCTCTCTCCTCTGTATGTCTCTGTTTGAGTGTGTATGTGTGTCTCTCTCTCCTCTGTATGTCTCAGTGTGAGTGTGACTGTGTGTCTCTCTCTCCTCTGTATGTCTCTGTTTGAGTGTGTATGTGTGTCTCTCTCTCCTCTGTATGTCTCTATGTGAGTGTGTCTGTGTGTTTCTCTCTCCTCTGTATGTCTCTGTGTGAGTGTGTCTGCGTGTCTCTCTCCTCTGTACGTGTGTCTCCCTGTGTCTGTGAGTAGCTGTGTCTTTGTGTCTCTCTCTCCTCTGTGTCTCTCTTTCTCCTCTCTATGTCTCTGTGTGAATGTGCCTGTGTCTCTCTCTCCTCTGTATGTCTCTGCGTGAGTATGTCTGTGTGTGTCTCCCTCTCCTCTGTATGTCTACGTGAGTGTGTCTCTCCCTCCTCTGTATATCTCTGTGTGAGGTCTGTGTGTGTCTCTCTCTCCTCTGTATGTCTCTGTGTGAGCATATCTGTGTCTCCCTCTCTTCAGTATGTCTCTATGTTAATGTGTCTTTGTGTCTCTCTCCACTGTATGTCTCTGTGTGAGTGTGGCTGTGTGTTTCTCTCTCCTCTGTATGTCCCTGTATGAGTGTGTCTGTGTGTCTCTCCTCTGTATGTCACTGTTTGAGTGTGTCTTTGTGTCTCTATCTCCTCTGTATGTCCTTATGTGAGTGCGCCTATATGTGGCTCTCTCTCCTCCGTATGTCTCTGTGTGGGTGTGTATGTGTGTGTCTCTTTCATCTGTATGTCTCTGCATGAGTGTGTCTGTGTGTCTCCCTCTCCTCTGTATCTCTGTGAGTGTGTCTCTCTCTGTATGTCTCTATGTGTCTGTGTGTCTCTCTCTTCTCTGTATGTCTGTTTGAGTGTGTATGTGTGTTTCTCTCTCCTCTGTATGTCTCTGTGTGAGTGTGTCTGTATGTGTCTCTCTCCTCTGTATGTGTGGATCTCTGTGTCTGTGAGTATCTGTGTATCAATCTCGCTTCGGTATGTCTCTGTGAGGGTATCTCCCTCTTCTGTGTATGTCTCTGTGTGAGTGTGTCTGTGAGTATGTTTCTCTCTCCTCTGTATGTCTCTGTATGAGTGTGTCTGTGTGTCTCTCTTTTCTCTGTATGTCTCTGTGTGAGAGTGACTGTATGTTTCTCCCTCTCCTCTGTACGTCTATGTGAGTGTGTCTCTCTCTTCTGTATGTCTCTATGTGTCTGTGTATCTCTCTCTTCTCTGTATGTTTCTGTCTGAGTGTGTATATGTGTCTCTCTCCTCCGTATGTCTGTGTGAGTGTGTCTGTGTGTGTCTCCCTCTCCTCTGTATGTCTGTGTGAGTGTGTCTTGTGTGTCTCTCTCCTCTCTATATGCATTGTGTCTGTGTTTCTCTCGCCTCTGCATGTCTCTGTGAGTCTGTATGTCTTTGTGTAAGTATGTATGTGAGTGTCTCTCTCTCTCTCTCCTCTGTATGTCTCAGTGTGAGTGTGACTGTGTGTCTCTCTCTCCTCTGTATGTCTCTGTTTGAGTGTGTCTGTGTGTCTCTCTCTCCTTGGTATGTCTGTATGTGAGTGTGTCTGTGTGTTTCTCTCTCCTCTCTATGTCTCTGTGTGAGTGTGTCTGCGTGTGTCTCTCTCCTCTGTATGTGTGGCTCTTTGTGTCTGTGAGTAGATGTGTGTCTTTGTGTCTCTCTCTCCTCTCTATGTCTCTATGTGAATGTGCCTGTGTCTCTCTCTCCTTTGTGTCTCTCTCGCCTCTTAATGTCTCTATGTGAGTGTGTGTGTCTCTCTCTCCTCTGTATGTCTCTGTGTGAGTGTGTCTCTATCCTCTGTATGTCTGTGTGCGAGTGTGTGTCTTTCTCTTGTTCGTCTTTCTCTCTCCTCTATATCTCTATGTGAGTGTGTTTATGTGTGTCTATCTCATCAGTGTGTCTCTGTGTGAGTGTGTCTGTGTGTCTCTCTCCTCTGTATTCTCTGTGAGTGTGTCTCTCTCTCCTCTGTATGTCTCTGTGTGAGTGTGTCTGTGTGTCTCCTCTGTATGTCTCTGCATGAGTTTGTCTGTATGAATGTGTCTGTGTGTGTCTCCCTTTCTCCTGTATGTCTCCATGTGAGTGTGTCTGTTTGGCTCTCTCCTCTGCATGTCTCTGTGAGTGTGTCTCTCTCTGCTCCGTATGTCTCTGTGTGAGTGTGTCTGTATGTGTCTCTCTCCTCTGTATGTGTGGCTCTCTGTGTCTGTGAGTTTCTATGTCTGATAGTGAGTCTCTTTTTGTGTTTGTGACTGTATGTCTGTGAGTGTGTCTTTCTCTGTTTCTTTGTCTGTGAGCGGTGGCTGCCCTGAGAGGCAGGATTTGATGACCTCCTGGCTCCCGCAGTTAGGTCACTGGCGAGCAGTGCTGGTGTTTGTCAGATCTCCAAGCCTTCAAATCTGCTTCGGGGTTGAAACGGACAATTCAGCCCTTTGCGCCTGCGCTGGTGTCTCCACGCACTCCACCACCGCATCCCCCGAGTTGGCCCTCAATTTTGTTAAAGGAAGCATTTTTTTTGCAACTATCTAACGTGTTTATTATCAATAATAAAGTGAAATAATATTAATAATCCTTGCATTTGATATAATACCTTATCACATCTTCGAGACGTCTCAAAGCGCTTCACAGAATATACTGTGAAGTGAATTGACTGTATATTTTGTGGACAAAACACGGCAGCAATTTTCACACAGCAGAGTCCCACAAACAGTCGTGGATTGAATGACCAAATTATTTTATTTTTTGAAGGGATTATCCACAAAAAACTGATCCGCCAATTGACTAACAAACAGGTTCCTAATTGCTGCTAGGTGAAAGAGGTGTGTAGAGTAAGGAAACTTGCCCATCATTTCGCCGGGCAAAGCAAAACATTGGGCAAGTTTCCTTACTCCAAATGCCTCTGTTCTTTTATTTCCGCAGATTGATTCTGTCAGGAAAGTGACACAAGAAAGCAAGGACAAGGCAACCAGATTATCAGATAAAATAACTGAGATGAAGAATCGACTCAAAAAGGACAAAGAACAAATGAAAACTGTCATCCAAAAAGTGAAAGATTTTCTCACCGGTATTTAATCAGTTTTCCTATACTTTAGCAATGTCATATCCAGGAAGGCAACTTGTATATTTTAGTATAATGTAGAACAGGGTGGTCACGCCTCCCTCCATTTCATCTGGCTCACCCACTCCCTCCATGACCCATAAAGGTTATGTTTCTGGAAGGGAAACACAAAATTGCTTTTGCATCCGCGGAGGTTTCTCAAATCCAGCCCTCAGCAGCCAACAGATTGGATCCTATATAAAGGAGAAGACATATGAAAGCCTCACTTGAACAGAGAGCCCAGCAGCGTGAGGAGGGAACGGAGTGAGGTGAACAAAGTCAGAATTTGGTGAGAGTGGGAATTCAGTGCAGAGGGGGAAAGGTGCAGAATTATAAAATATGTAAGTTATATTAAAATAATATAAAACAAGTCTGGGAATATGGCAGGGCACACACTAGTTGCATGCACATTGTGTGCCATGTGGGAACTCCAGGATGCTTTGTGTGCCCTGGACAAACACATGTATAAAAAGCGCCACCGGCTGCTCGAAATTGAGCTCAGAGTTTCTGAGCTCGAGATCTGCGTGTATGTTTCTGTGTGAGCTCGAGGAGAGGCTGGTGTCACTATATAGCATATGGGAGGCTGTAGAGTTCATGGATCGAATGTTTCAGGAGGTGGTCACCCCACAGCTACAGAGGGTTCAGAAGGAGAGTGAGTGGGTGACCATCCGGCATGGTAGGAAGAGGGGACGGGCAGTGCAGAAATCCCCTAAGAGTTAGGCACTCACAAACCGGTTCTCTGTACTGAATACTGGTTAGGGTGATGACACCTCTGGGGAGGGGAGTCAAAAGCAAATGGATGCACAGGAAGAGTGTCAATGCAACTGTCATTGCGGACACAATGGTGAAAGGAATAGACAGGCGTTTCTGCAATCAAAGACGTGACTGGTATGGTATGTTGCCTCCCTGGTGCCAGGGTTGAAGACATCTTGTGCAAAACATTCTACAGGGGGAAGGGGAACATCCAGAAGACGGCACTGGAAAGGGACAATATGCTAGACAGTTAGAGGGTCCACAAACAGAATCTATTTGGTTAGCGTTAAGGATCAGAAAAGGAGCTGTTACTTTGTTAGGTGTCTACTATAGACCAACAAATAGTGGGAAGGAGATAGACGAGCAAGCAGATTTCAGAAAGAGTAGTGATAATGGAGGACTTCAATTATCCTAACACAGACTAGCAAAATAACAGTGTAAAGGCAAGGAGGGGGAAGGATTCCTGAAATGTGTGCAGGATAATTTCTGGATCAGTATGTTTCCAGCCCAATCGGAAGGAAGCAGTGCTGAATCAACAGTGTAAAACAACAGTGTAAAGGCAAGGAGGGGGAAGGATTCCTGAAATGTGAGCAGGATAATTTCTGTATCAGTATGTTTCCAGCCCAACTCGGAAGGAAGCAGTGCTGAATCTAGTTCTGGGGATTGAAATGGGGCAAATGGAGCAGGTTTCAGTAGGAGAGCATTTGTACAACGGTGATCACAACATCATCAGGTTTAGAGTACTTATGGAAAGGGACAAGGAGCAATCAAAGGTGAAGATACTCAACTGGAAGAGGGCTAACTTCAGTGAGTGTAAAAGCAACCTAGCCAAGGTGGACTGGAAAGATTGGCAGGTAAAACAGCTAATGAGCAATGGGAAGCCTTCAAGGAGGAGATAGTTTGGGGACAGAACTAATACATTCCCACAAAGGGGAAAGGTAGGGCATCCAAACCTCCCTGGATGAATAAGGAAATTGGGATTCAAATAAAACAGAAAAGATGGCCCATGCTTGGGCCCCGACACCTGACTGTTTAGCGCTTTGGGAAGTCCACCCGACGTGAAAGGCGCGCTATAAATGTAATTTTGTTGCTGTTGTTATGATAAATGTCAAGTCCAAAATACAGATGATAATCAAATAGAATATAGAAAGTACAGAGGAGAACTGAAAAAGGAAATAAGAGGGGCAAAGAGATTATATGCAAAAGGATTAGCAGGTAATATAGAAACCCTAAGATATTTTATAAGCGCATAAAGAATAAAAGGTTAGTCAAAGGTAAGGTGGGTCCAATTAGGGACCAAAGAGGAAATCTTCCTGTAGTGGCAGAGGCCATGGCTGACGTACTGAATGAGTACTTTGCATCTGTTTTCACAAAAGAAGACTTAGCCAATGTCACAGTATCGGAGGAGAGGGTAGAGAAATTGGATAAGATGAGAATAAACCGATAGGAGGTACTAAAAAGGTTGTCGGAGCTCAAGATAGATAAATCACCCAGTCAGGACGGGCTGCATCCTAGGTTACTGAGGGAAGTAAGGGTGGAAATAACGGAGGCTCTGGCCACAATCTTTCAATCCTTCTTGGACACCGGGGCGGTGCCAGAGGACTGGAGGGTTGCAAATGTTACTCCCCTGTACAAAAAGGGGCAGAAGGATAAACCCGGGAACTACAGGTCAGTCAGCCTAACATCAGTAGTGGGGAAACTTCTAAAGACTATAATTCGGGACAAAATAAATTTTCACTTAGAAAAATATGGGTTAATAAAGGACAGTCAACATGGATTTGATAAAGACAAATCACGTCTAACAAACCTGATAAAGGCATTGGGGAGTGTGCAAAAGAGATTTACCAGGATGGTACCAAGAATGAGGGACTTCAGTTATCAGGAGAGGCTAGAGAAGCTCGGATTAATCTCCATGGAGCAGAGAATGTTTTTTAAAACAGCGAGTTGTTCGGATCTGGAATGCATTGCTTGAAAGGGCGATGGAAGCCGATTCGATAAAAGCTTTTAAGAGAGAAGTAGATGATTATTTGGGGAGAACAAGTTTGCAGAGCTATGGGGAGAGAACGGGGAGTGGGATTGATTTGGATAGCTCTTTTTAAAGAACCGGCACAGACACGATGGGCCGAACGGTCTCCTTCTGTGTTGTATAATTGTACGATTCTATGATCATCCTGATGTAGAATATAACATTAAATGAGTACTGTAGCGGACACTGGGATTTGCAGCAAAGCAGATCAACTTGTAACGGATGTTAATTCAGCGTCCCGTCTACTTCGCCAGATATACACTAAAGATCCCATGACCCTATTCAAAAAGATAAGCAAGTTTCTCCCAGTGTCCTTTTCAACAATATCCCACATAAAATTGGTTGTTCGCTTCATAACAGGTTTTGGGACCTCCGCATGTGTTGGTCTTAATTGTGGAAATAGTTAATTATATCAAAAATAGGATTTCCAACAAAATTATCCTTTTTGGGACTATAAGTAGCAAGCAGATGGACACTTTATTTCAAAAAGGACAATTTTCCTCAGATGTTCTGAGAAATATGTCTTTGACTCTTCTGAACTCTGTCTAGATGTGAAACCGAAAATTCCACCTGATCTTAGTCTGTAAAACATTTTGCCTTAAAATTTAAAATGAATTATGGAAACCAATTTTCTAGAATTCTTAAAAAGAAACCAGTTTTCAAATACAGACTGAATTTAAGAATTTTCCACAATTGTGCACAATTTTAAATTTTAAGACAAAGTGACCTTAAAAGGCAATGTATTCCTGGTTTATGATATTCTTTTTTTCTCACTTTGTGTTTTTTTCTATTTCCTTCAATTAAAGCTGACAATGTTCATCCTGAAGACATTAAGAAGATTGCAAACTATGTTCTTTCTCTCTCGTTGCCCATCAGTGCTAAAGAAGTGGAGAACAAAGGGAAGGAGATCCAGAAAATTCTTTCAGAAATCCAAGATGTCGACAAAGAAATAGAAAAATTAAATCAACGCTCCGGAGAAGCAAAGGATCTTCTGAAAAGTGCAAAGAAAGCTGAGTGTGTAGAGCTTTATATTTCATTCATAAGTGGCTTGATATATTAATAGTCTTATATTTCAATATTCTGGGTTTCTCCTTATTATCTTTTTAACTGTATTGCTGCAATACAATTAGCTACTTTATAAATCATTGAACTGGATTTTAATAAATTAAAAACATTCCTTTACTAAAAGCAACCCATATCCTTATTTCAAATTTGCAGTACCAGAAATTTTAGGACTCAATAAAATCTACTTTAAGTGCTCTGAGACGCTATCCTGCGTGGAGGGCGCTGTATAAGCACAAGTTGTTGTTGTTACTTTCCAAACAAACTATACCTATTCTATATTCAAATAAAATAATCACAACATTTTAATCATGCTTCATAGCTTGTTTACAAGATTAAAATACCAAAATCTACCCTTTATATCTGTTCTGTTTCCATGCAGAATATTTTTTCATCCACATGGAGTAAGACATAAGAAATACAGCATAAGATTGTATTTGAATATCAGAAATAATTCCTATACACAAACTTGTAAACCGTGGGTCGCTTAATGATACGATTTATTAGCACTATTGTTAACTGGTGATATATTACTTCTCTAGCCTTGCCTCTATCTGAGTGTAAGATTTTATATTAATAGCAAGCATACATGAAACACTGAATACATTAATAGTTTTATGTTGTATTAACAAGAGATCTGTCTGTTAAATCTGTCTGATACTATCTTTTATGTGTGAATTATTAGAAATGCAGCTAAAGAAATCCCAGACACAATTGAAATCGAGAATAATCTGAACAAAATCAAGCAAGTTCAAAGATCCACTGAAGATAAAATAAAGACGATCAAACTTGATATGAACAATGCCCAGGATAGGATCTCAAAGGTAAGAGATATTAAAATCTGTGAGGGGGACATTTGTCTTTTCTTTACCTATATATTAGGGTATTATTTATTATACTTTAGACAGTAGTCAGAAAGCCCTTTAGCCCATTTGATTTTGTCCTTTCAGAGTATACACCCTACAGACATTCCCATTACAAGAACTATGTGTTTCTTGAATGAGTCCAATATATAGCTTTCTGGGTGGTTTATACTTTATTTCTGAAAGGGAAACACAAAGTATTGCTTTTGCTGCCCTATTTCTCAAATAGGATATCCTGCCCTCAGCAGCCAAATGGTTGAATCACCCTTATGTACAATATAACATTAGATGAATACTGTAGTGGACGCTGGGGAGTCATGGAAGATGTAGTCAATGCTACCCATAGTTGGTAATAAAGCAGATCAACTTTTAACGATGTTAAACCAACGTCCCATCTACCTCGTCAGATAGACACTAAAGTGCGAAGAGGTCTCTGACTTCTTTGCCTCAGAGATTGAAAACTTCCACTTGGCTGCATCATCCTCGCCCCACTCCATGTCCTCTTCCACCCCACCCAGACCATCCACATCGCCTTCTCCCTCCACCACGGCTCCTACAACTCCCCCTCCTTACACTCCTTTGCCCCCATTTCTCCCTCCTCCCTCCCAACCACAATCATCCGCATGAAGTTCACCACCTGCTGCCTCGATCCCCCCTCCACCCAGCTGCGAGTCACTCAACTCCCCCTCCTCTCCCCACTGCTGGCTGACACAGTCAACCAGGCTCTCTCCTCAGGCTCTGTTCCACTCCCCCTGAAAATTACTGTCATCACGTCCCTCCTCAAAGAACCCACCCTCGATCCCTCCAATCTCTCACACTACCATCCCATCTCCAACCTTCCCTTCCTCGCTAAAGTTCTGGAATGCATTGTTGCAGGTCAAATTCAGTCACATCTCTCCCTCCACTACCTCCTCGAACCATTGCAGGCTGGTTTTCACCCTGCCCACAGCACAGAGACAGTTCTTAAGATGAACTCAGAGATGACAGCAACCAAAGTGGTTTCTGTCATCAATGCTGATCATCATCAAAATTCTGAAATGAACATGGTAACTCTAGGGTAGCAATTTATTATAAAATAAATAAGGATTGCAGTAGGAGAGAAAATGAAATAGCATAACTTCCAGCAACCTCACACCCAATGCAAACATTCTTTTCACAGATACTTGAGGCACAAATCAATTACAGTCAGTTAACAACTTACATTAAATAAGTGTAGGGTCTTCTTTAACCATAAGAGCTAGCTTTATGTTCCAAAAATAAGAATGTGTTCTGAAATATGGAATTACATCCTGATCAGTAAAAAAGTGACGATTTCATTTTTCCTTCCAAAAAAATCGCTAGAGATCCTACAAAAACTCGGTGTTTAGATTGATCTGCTGCGGATTTGCAAATGTTCTTTTTGTCATTTAGTTTAAATATTTAAATATTCAGCTTCTTATTTTGTTTGTTTTTTTCTTCTTCCTGACAGCTTGATGAGAAAACAAAGCCATTTGCAGACAATTTCATGACCTTGATGAACAGCCTATCTTGGTTAAATAACAAGACTATGGAACTGAAAAATAAGACTGAGCTGAATCGAGTGCTTGCTGAAAATGCAAAAAAAGTAGCTGATATAGCAACAAGCAGCGCTGAGGAAGCTGACAAAGTAACACCTTTCATATTTTCAAACGTACATAATAATAAGCAATATGATGCAAACACAAAAGTTCTCAGGATAGGTCAAGGTTTCAGATGCTGAATTACATAGGATCACATGGATTGTTACAACATAGAAACAGGTCATTTAGCCCAACTAGCCTGTGCCCGTGTTTATACTCCATATGAGCCTTCAACCCTCCTAATTCGCTCTCCCATACCCCTCTATTCCCTTTTCTCTCATGTATGCATCATGTTTTCTCTTATTTACTTTGCAGTTTTTTTGCTTCAACTACAGCTTCAGCCAGTGAGTTCTATGATCTAACCATCTCGCGTTCGCACCATCTTGCATTCGCACCATCTCGCGTTCGCACCATCTCTCATGTTCTCACCATCTTGCATTCTCATGTTGTCTCTGGAACTCCGTTCCGAGGCCACTGCAACATGCTCTCTTTCCCCCCTCCCCTTTCAAAACATACCTATTTGACCATGCTTTCAGGCATCTTTCCCTTTCTCAACCCCTTTGGCTCCCACCCTCAAATCCAGTGTCGAGCTAGAATTGTCAAAGTTTTGTATGTTTTTCCCATGTGAAAGGTGCTATACCTTTCATATTGGAAGGTACATTATACTGTGTCCTCTGAGTGGTATTTTATTTGCTGCTGAGTACATGAAATATTACTCTCTAAATTCTAAGCTTCTATTTTGACTCAACAGCAATTTTTGTTCCAAAAGCCCTTATAACTTCTATTCAAGCTTCATGACATAAAATTATTTGGATTGTATGTGGCAATAAGTATATTGTTGTGATATTTTGGTAATTTTCTTCTCACCACCTCTCTGGTTGCAAAATACGGACACCATGCGGGTTATTCTCCCCATTGATATTACTGTAGAATGGGGATGAATTGCACTATAAGTTTTTACAATGCAGCAGCTCCTACAAACATGCTCCCAAATAATCTCAACTCTTTGGAAGGCTGGGAGGGGCAGTAATCTAAATGGATCTCATAATGAGATTATCTGACTTTGGGCAACAATTTCAATTAAAATGTTTCTTTTGAATCTTTAATAACTTTTGCAAAATGTATTGTCAGTTCATCCAGATTGAAAGTCTTCATGAAAAGATATAAACGTTACTGCACAAAGTCAGTCCTATGTTGTTTTTTTTCTCGATTGAAACAGGTTTGTCTTTAAGTGAAAAGGACTTTTCTTTATTCAAGGTTATGATTTGCTGTTATAGGAATTTGAAAAATTGAATGATGCTTATGACAATTTAAAGAAACTAAAACTTCAGGAAGTTCCAGTTGATGCGAAACAAAAAGCACAGAAATTACAGGAAGAGGCTTCTGATATGGCAAAAGATCTTGAAGAGAAACTAAAGAGAATAACTCGTAAGTCTCTATGAAAATATTTGTTTCCACCATAGCTTTCTTAACAACAGTTTCAAAGTATTCAGATAAACTCAGGAACACAAGCAGAATTTAGGGCATAAAAACAGAAGTATCTGGAAATATTCATTAGGTCAGGCAACATCTATGGAGAGAGAAAAGTGAGGCAACGTTTCAAGTCGATGACCGTTCTGACAAAAGGTCATCGACCTGAAACATTAACTCACTTTCCTCGCTCCATAGATGCTGCCTGACCTGCTGAGTGTTCCCAGAGACTTCTGATTTTATTTCAGATTTCTAGCATCTGTAGTATTTTGTTTTTTGTTTAGAATTTAGGACAATTTGCTTAAAACTGTCAAAGATTAGCATACCAATGAACTGGGGCTTGAAAACAAATTGCAAATACGTGTTTGGTGACTTCATAATTGAATTAAAAATAATATAAAACTGATTTGAAAATGCAATACTCAGCAGATTTTGTTAAAAGGTTAAAACTCCTTCAGTTTATTAGCTAAGATAAATCAAGTGCTATTTGTTTAACTTTAATTAAAATACTTCAACACAATAATTTTTAAAAAATTAAACAGCAAACAGCAAGAGAAGAAAGGACATAATTGAATAATGCTGTAATCTGAAGGTGAGGACAATTCATTTTGGGAAATATTATTAATTACCTAATATTAACATTGAGGCTTCTCTAATAATTACAGGACTGGAGAAGAGTTTACAAGATGGAAATAAGGAAATAGAAGAGAAGTCAAAACGATTGGGTGAACTTGAAAAAATGGTGATAGAAATCAAAATGTTCATTGACAACTTCTCAAAGACTTGTTAGATACAACAAAAATGTAACTGTTATTAACATTGTTCAATCTTTTCAACCTACATTTTACACAAATAGATATGAAATGTATAGAACTCTCAATTTCTTTGAAATAATTTTATGTCTTGCTGCAGCATCTACAATCAAAGCCCAGGAACATTATGAACTGGGAATAATAATAATAAATATTCTTGCAATTGGTATAACACCTTTCATGTCAAGGATGTGTTTCACAGGATTTACTATAATGCATAATTATTATTATATATCATTTCAAATTTACAGAATTTACATACAAGCAAGGATTATGAGAAAAAAATGTGAATGTTCTGTTATGTAATTTTGTAAATAATTTAAACTGGTACAATGAGAAGTGTATAGTAAGAAAATACAATTTAGCATATCAAAACCATGTTCATTTGTTCTGTCATGGACACTTCTCAAGTTAGTTATGCTTTGATTACATTCAAAGTTTGGCAACAAATTGCTGTGGTTTACTTCCAAATGTCAAGTATAAATGGAACCTGAGACAACATAAATCGTACTTGAATCCTTCTCCCAACATCACCTGCAGAAGTTGAATCCTTCTCCCAACATCAGCTGCAGAAGTTGAATTCTTCTCCCAACATCAGCTGCAGAAGTTGCAGTGCGACTTGGACCCATGCAGTACCTGCTCAGTGAGACTCATTCGCTGGTGGTGGCAATAAATCCATAGGCATATATCAACTATAAGAGTTATTTTCTCTGAATATCATGGTGGCCAATTACACTCAAATTATGAACATCTAAACTCTGAGTCCTTCAGCCACATTAATAATGTAGTAACTGCACAACACAGTACTTGTCTGGCTCGGACTGCCTCACCCATTAAGTCTTTGGCTTAATTCAGAGTCAACTCAGAGCCAGTTCAGCCCCAGGGAAACCCACTTCCCTCCGTCCCTCCAGAGGATAATTGTATGGTACTCGTTCTTTCAACCTTGGAAAGTTAAATGATGCACAGAAACTTTAACAAGAACAACTTGCAAGCGCTCCTCATATAGGGTAGCATTCCAGAGCAGTTAACAGTGGCATGGTTTAAGAGAAAACTCTTCAGGCGCGACTCAAAGATGGGGAAGGAAGCGGTAATTTAGAGGGATAGATAGAGATTCAGGGCGTAGTGCCTAAAAGCGTGGCCACCAATGGTGGAACGAATGGCCACCGAGGGTGGGACATGCTGGAGGCTGGAGCCAGTCGAGCGGTTGTGGGTTGGGAAGTAAGTAGGTTGGACCGGTAGGGAGATGCCAGGGCATGAAGGGATTTCAAGACGAGTGTGAGTATCTTGAAATTGATCTGTTCGACGATAGAGAGCCAGTGGAGACTGGCTAGAACTGGTGTGATGGGGGTACAGTGTTCAGTACAGGAAGTATGTGAGCAGCAGAGTTATGGATCAGCTGCATCTTGTGGATGCTGGAGCTGGGGAGATTGTTGAGGGCATTTGAGCAGTCAATGCGGAAGGTGACGAACACATGGACGGGTGTTTCGGCTGTGTCTTGGGTAAGGTATAGTTGGAGCCAGGCAATGAGGTGGAGGAAGGGACCGGATGTGGGGAAGGAAGGACAGCTGTGGATCAAACCTGAAGCCTAGGTTACGCCCCAGTTTAGTAAATCTGAGGGATAGGCCAGGGAGGTAGAGGTCAGAGCCACAGGATAGAAGATGTGACGGAGTCAAGGAGTATGGCTTCCGTCTTGTTAACATTTAGTTGCAAAACATTTGCGCTTATCCAGGTCTTGATGTTTGCCAGACAAGCCAACAGAACATTGGCAGACGTGGAGTCACAGATGGAGGAGGAGAAGTAGATTTGTGTGTCATCCACATACATGTGGAAGTTTATCCCTTGTCTGCGGATGACATCGTGCATGTAGATGAGGGAGAGCAGGTGACCAAAGATGGAGCCCTGGGATACACCACAGGTGACCGGGCAGGGATGGGAGGAGAAACCTTTTCAAGAGACAAAGTGAAGGCGGTTTGTTAGGTAAGATACAAACCAGGCCAGTGCAGTTCCACTAAGGTGGATGAGGGAGGAGAGGCGGTGGATGAGGATGGCTTGATCAACTGTGTCCAATTTGGCAGAGAGGTCCAGGAAGTCAAGGAAGCAGAGGGATCCCTGGTCACAGAGAGCGAGGACGTTGTTTGTGACCTTGACAAGCATTGTCTCTATGCTGTGGGCAGAGCGGAAGCCAGACTGGAGGGACAGCAGTTTTAAGAGGAAGAGGAACAGAGCCTGAGGAGAGCAACTAACTGAATATGTCGGCCAGCAGCAGGGGGAGAAGGGAGAGTTGAGTGACCAGTAACTGGGTGGAAGTTGATGGGCTTCATCTGGGAGATGGTAGTTGAGAGGGAGGCGGGAGTAATCAGGGCAAAGGTGCCCTAGTTGAGAGGGGGGAGTGGGAGGTCCATGGCAGGAGGAGTGGGAGGTATAGATGGGCTGTGAGGTGTAGAAGGGGATTTAGGGGAAGAGGATACAGCTAAGGCGATGTTTTGAATCTGTGATTTGGAGAAGACTAGGACATCTTCGAACTTTGCATTTGATGCAAGGATGGAGACAGCTTGGGACAGTGTATGGAGGAGGTGATGGATGGTGGAGAACAGTGCCTTTGGGTTGTTTTTGGTCTCCAGAATGGTTTTGGAGTAAAAGGCAGTTTTGGCCTGGGAGAGGCAGATGCTTGAGCCACGGCTGGCCGCATTTGTGCCATCTGCGCTCAAGCGCCCGGGTTTGAGTTTTGAGGGAGCAGAGGTGACTGCTATACCATGGGGAGCAGGTAGATTTTCAAATAGCCCTGGATTCCAGTGGGAGTAAACAAGTTGAAGGTTGCAGAGAGGCGATTGTTTAGCAGCTTGATGGTTGAGGGTGGTAGGCCAGAGGGAGAAGAGATAATAATGCAAGGAAGAGAGAACGTTTATAATGGACTCGGGGAGCAAGCTTTTTCGAAGGGTGGAAAAAGATGGTGGAAGACTTGGAAGAGAGGAGGGGAGTGCGAGAGAGAGAGAGGTGAGGAAATGGTCAGAGATGGCCTTGCCTGTGATGGACAGATTGGAGATATCAAGATCATGAGTGATAATGAGGTCAAGGGGGTGGCCACGGTTGTAGGTTGTCAAGTTTATATGGAGGGTGAGGTTTAGGATGAGAGGAGGGCAGTGAAGTCAGAGGAAATGGGCAAGAGGAGTTTAAGTAGATTTCAATGCTGGTATCATAAGATGGAATACCATTCACCATGTGCACATTTGTTCAGCGCCTTGGGACATCCTGGCATGAAAGGCACTATACAAATGTAATTTGTTGTTGTTGTGATGTGCTGATTCTGCATAACGTTGACCCTCCAAGATGCATACATCATCAAGGAACAATTCCTCCATAATATGGCTGTGGTTGTGGAAGGACAACAGCAGCCAGCACAAGTAGAAAATAAACAAGTATAGATGAAGGGGAGGGTCACAAAACTTCCATTTACATCTTCAGTTTAGGGAATTTCTTGTGGTAATGTGATTGCAGGTGTCACACATAGGCCCTGCCCATTTCAAGATAGCCTCAAACCAGTCATCAATCAACAGTGAAAGAAATAAAGGTGACCACAAGCAAAAGCATACAAATATACATCCATGCGATTTACAATACATCCTGTGAAACACTTTGAGATGTTTCGATGACGTGAAGGTGCTATATCAAAAGTAACTATTATTTAGGATTAGCAATGCCCCTCTCTAAAGGTCATCTACTTACTGCCATCTGATCTACAGATGCCTCAGTTAATAAATGTGGAGTCCTGTAGTGTAATTGGTTAGAGCATTTGCCTCGCAATTGAGAGGATCTGAGTTTGATTCCCAGGCAGGGCGAAACCTTTGGCGGATCACTTTCCAGAGGTAATAATCACTTTATAAAAATAATTTGGTCACTTAATCCATAACTATTTGTGGGACACTGCTGTGCGCAATTGGCTCCTGGGTTTTGCCCACAAAATATACAGTCAATTCATTTTACTAACTGTCTGCTTGTTGAAGCACTTCGAGACGTCTCAATGACCTGATAAGGCGCTATATCAAATGTAAGGATAATTATTCAATGAGTACTTGCACATTATGAACATTATAGTTTATTTGTAACCCTTGAGTATCGTGAACAATTTTAATCATTCAACTGGGAAGCTGGAAAAAGAAAAAGGTTTACTGAAACTCAATCTCCGGCCATGCAAAGTCTGTAAAGTTAACATTGCGGTGAGGGGGAATGAATGGAAAAGAGGAAAAATCAAAAGAAAAAAAAGCATTCCATTACCAGTTGGACATGAAAAATGACTGTGTATGTTTAGGAGTATACCCTTGTTACTAAATCTCCACTAAGCTTTCACTTACAATGAGACGTAGAATTTGGGAAATTCATGTGATTTGTCGTATATATGTGTAAGAGTTTCAATTGGTTTTCTCACCATTTCTCTGCATGAAGGCTTGAGGGTAGATTTCCATAGTGATGCTCCCTTTACAGTGCTTCCCTCAAGCTCATACCCCATCTTCTGTTGACATAGAAGGCAAAATGCATGTGAAGGTTAATTTGAAGCAGTGTCAGCATAGCTTTGGAAGAGGGTTCAATTTTAGAAATAGCAGTATGGGGCACAAGGTGTAGTGTGGGATTTGTCAGCTAACTGTCTGCTTGCTGAAAGGTAATGAGTAGACTCCTGCAGTGGCCTCTCCTGGTGATACCTTTCTTATGCATAACTTTAAATCCATTCATGCTGAGTGTGGCCACAACTTCCCTCTGCACTTTGCAACATAAATGAGGGAGGGCTGATAGACAGAGGTATTTTGAGTATGACACAGTCCTCTCAGGTTATCAACATTAACATTAGCTTGTGATTCTGGATCATTCAGTCCTTATTGGCCATCAATCGCATTTCTACTTTCTGTAATTCATTCCTTTCTTTTACTTACCCTAATAGTAATTCTTCAGCTTTTCGTTTTCTCCTACACAAAATTCTGTTATGATCCTTTTTTCCCTCCCTTAGTTTTACCCATGGTTTCAGTTTCTCAGCACATATAGTTCAA